CTCTCTCACCAAACCCCGCTAGCTGCCGTGCAACCTCAGCTTGAATGGCTTCTTGAGGGAATGATGACGAGTCGGTGCGACTCTGTGGCCTCTCAGGCCCTCTACCGTACAATACCGGGGCCCTCTGCTCCGAGGCTTGCATGCGCTGCAGCATTTCAGCACTTAGCAAAGGGCCATCCCTTCCGGGAGGCGGTGCAAAGGATGTTGGAGTACCATGCGCTCCCATTTGTGGTGGCGAGCTTGTATGCGAACCCAAACTTCCTTCTCCCAAGGCCAATTGCCCTGAAGCGCCACTCGGACTATCGCGAGTTTGTGATGTGGTTCGTGGTGGCGTGGCGTGTGTGCCTTGCAACACTGCGGCGGGTACTTGCACCACCTCAGTGCGCGCTACACGGAAAAATTCCCCAACTCTCGACATGAGTTGAAAACCTGTAGCAGGTAACCCTTCTACCACTTCGGCGATGGTAGGCAATCCCTGCTGCGACCTCGGGGTAACAAACCCCTCGGCTCCCACGGTCTCCCCAGTTGACCTTATACCCCCCAACACTCCACCTCCGCTCAAATCCGTAGCCAGACCGGCCTCATTTGATACGGCTTGATGTGCGCTGGCGTTGGTCTCTGGTCCTGGGCTTCCGCCCGGAGCTGTGCTTTGCGGCAGTGCACTTCGGGGCGCACGAGCAATCCCACCATCAGTGGTGGTCGACACCTGGGGTGTGCCTTCTACTGGGTCCCCACTTCCAGATGCCCTTCCCGCAGCCATATGGGACGCAAAGCCTACTCCACCTGCAATGTGCACTTGTGCAGGTGTTGGTGTTGCGTCCTGTGTACCTGGGTGACCATCCCTCCCGGGTGGTGGGGATGGCATAGTGCCCAGGGTGCCGTAGTGCCCTTGCCCAAGCGTTGGGCTCATAACCTGCTGGAGTGAACCAGCAGGCATAGAAGCAGAAGCTACTAGTGGGGTAGCTAATCCCCTAGCAGAGTCTTCCCAACTGCCCATGGCTCACTCGAACACGGAGGTTTTACACGCAAGCAAAAGATCAGAAACATGACTAGGGCATGACACCAATGTTGATGCATGTGCAAATGTGATTAAAATGCATTGCTCAAGGCTGTACTGTTCGGGCCTAAAGAGCAAAAGAGGAAAACGTTTCACATGTACACGTGACGTGAGCTACAAAGGTGGCATGCTTTTCAGCACATACCATTTTTCGGTGGTTCCTTATTATATTTTTAGTATAATTTGCCCCAAAACCCTGTTCTAATTATCAAAGTATCCTTCTAGATGCCGTATAGGAACCCTTTTAAGGATCCCGAGAAAGGAACCCTATTCTAATTATTCAAGGCCCCTTTTTTACCTGATAGAGCTTCCGGGCTTGGGTGTCGGGGTTCGGGCCTTTTGCCTTTTACAGGTCTGCTGGGATCGCTGCTGGTTGCTGCTTCTGTTTATGTGGTTTGGTTTGTTGTAGTACAGCCTAGTGTACAAGCTTAGGACAGCACACCCTAAACCCTAAACCCTAAACCCTAAACCCTAAACCCTAAACCCTAAACCCTAAACCCCTAAACCCTAAACCCTAAACCCTAAACCCTAAACCCTAACCCTCCGGAGCCCCAAAAACCGAAGCCCCTTACGTGTTGCGATGTCTAAGGGTGTGGTTTAGCTGCGAGCTCGAGACCCAAAACCCAACACTGCAACCTTTGAAGTTGGAACCCAAAAACCCAAAAAACCCTAAACCCCTAAACCCAAAGCCTAAAAACCCTAGACCCCTGGGCCGGAGATTTATGTGTTTTAGTGTTGAGGACATCTGGTTTTTAACCCTAGATCTCCACACCGCCACTGGTGAACCATAGACCAAAAGCCCCAAACCCCCAAACCCTAAACCCAAACAAACAACCCAGCCTACCTACACCCTACATGCTCAAACCTTCAAGCCCCTGAACCCTCACCCCCCAAGCCCTCATTCAAACCTAATGCCCTAAACACCTCAAACCCTGAAGCCTTCAACCTCCAACCCAGAAGCCCCAATTCTCTACCCCTGAAGCCCTGCACCCTTCAAGGAAGTATAGATGCCCGTATAGATCTCTTTTTCGGGCTCTTTGAAAAACCTACCCAAAGGTTCATGGCTAGCTATAAGTGGGGTTGTAAGTAGGGTAGCCGCAATTATAACCCATAACAAACAGGGGACTTATAGCGCCACCTATAACTAAACCCTAAACCCTATAACTTTGCAGCCTAAACCCTAAACACTATAACTGGTTTAAGCCCTAAACCCTATAACTACCCTAATCCCTAAACCCTAAACGGCTCATTGCCGATCCCAGGTTCGACTACGTCTCCGACCTCGGGGCCCAGTTTCTGAGGACCTCAGCAGGGGTCTGGGGTTTTTAGGGTTTAGGATTTAGGGTTTTGGGGCAAGGGTTCTTCAAGGGTCCTTTGAGTGAGGGTTCTGTGAGCTTTAAGGGTTCCTTAACCTTTCTGGGAGCACGTTTTCTTCACAGTTCCCAGAACGGTACAGCGCTGTACATGGTGTGGACTTTCCTGGTGCTTTCTTCGTTTTCGAGGGATATTGCACGGACTTTGTAATTAGGGTGTTGGTGGGCTTGCAAATTGACATGTTGAAGGGGGGCTTTACGTGGGCTTATAGGTGTGTGATTATGGTCTGCACAGTTGTCGGCTTCTCCGGATTGGCGGTAGTGTGAGAATTTTGTTTCCGGGCTGTCGGTGTTCATAGGATTGGGGTCTATGGGTGGAGGTCAAGAATCCGGAGCGGCCTCAATGCAGGCAGATGAAGGGTGTCAAGGTCTATCTACATGTATGTATGCGTGCATGCATGCATGCAGGTGTGTATGTCTGGATGTGTATATGTATACATATATATATATATATATACGCACATGTATACATAGGCACACACACAAATATACACAAATATCTATACATATATATATATATATATATATATATATATATATATATATACACACACACACACACATATTACACGTATACATAGCCACACATATATACATATTCATGTATATATATATATATACATATGTATACATATATATAGAGAGATAGATAGATATAGATAGATATAGATAGATATAGATATAGAGACAGACATAGATACAGGTTTCACTCACATGCATGCATGAAGAATTGCATGTAGATTGATACATAAATAGATACTCAGATAGATCGATCGACAGGTAGACTTGCAAATGCATATAGACAGACGGACCGAGGGACAGACGGACACATGCACTCTCGTGCTCAGGCCAGAAGCAAAACTGCAGAAAACACCAGCGGTTCGATTTGCAAATCAGGAGCTTCAACCGATGCAAAGTGCAGGCCAGCCCAAGCACTCAATCTCGACCGAGCCTGAACCGTGAACCTAAACCCCAAGCCCCGTGATGTTTCAGAAGCCCAAGAGTCCTGAACCCGAAGGTGCCCGAAATGCTATGCACAACGCAAGCCTTCAGATTTCAAATCGTGTTAACGTCCAAGCAAGGCCCCTAAATCTCCCGATCTCAAACAAAGCCGAGATGTGAGGAGACTCAGGCCACTGGGCATCTTTGATCTGCAAGTTTCAAGTCAGACTCACGGTTCTCGAAATCTGCGCGCGAAAGGGGGTACTTGGAGGGTCGCGGGATTTAGTAACTGGTTATTTTAAGGACCTATAAGTACCATAACCCCAATTAGGGTCCCTTCAAGTACCTAGGGTAATCTCCAGAGGGCCCGGACTTGCAGGATTCTGCCCTAAACCCCTAAACCCCTAAACCCCAAAACCCCAAAACCCCTAAACCCTGAACCCTACATCTTTCCTAGGGTCTAGTGGTGTCTGCGGGACCGAGTTGTCCGGCGCCTTTAAAGGCGCGAGGGGACCCTTTTCTTGAGCCAAGGTTCCGAGCTGCCCTCTGAAGCCCTTCATGGGACTTAGTAACTAGGGTTATTATGAGGGTAATTATACTTATGACCCCAATTAGGGTACCTATAACCTTACTCTGATACACCGAAGGAAGGGTTGAGGGTTTAGGGTTGAGCCCCTGGGCTCAAGATGCAGTTTTTCAAGAAAGCCCTGGTGGGACCCGATATGCTGACCCCATACCGTGAGCTTTTGAGTGCTCAAAGCAATGCCGGAAGTCTGATGCAGACTCCCGAAGCCTTACAGTAGAAGCCAGAAAGTTGGAACATCATTATCCTCATGCCCTTAGAGTAAAGTATAAGGGATCCTAGCACTAATCCTCCTAAATCCATGTTCCAACTTTCTGGCTTCTACTGTAAACTCAGGAAGGTTTCAAGCCCAGTTTCAGAGGTCTCTTCGAAGCCCACACCTTGCAAATCAAACCCAGTCTTAATATAACAATTACCTATACTATTGTGGGGTTTCCTTACTATAATTATAGTATAAAGGTGTAGGAACCTGATTGAGAAACCCTGGCCCTACAACCCCAAAGTAGTAGGATTCATATAAGGAACCCTCAAAAAGGCCCAAGGTTTCTTAATCAGGTTCCTACATTACGCAAGCTTACGAAGCACCCAGAAAAGCAGAAGCTTCTTCGCCATCCTTCAATGCCCCTCACGGCATCGGAATGTCCAAGACAGCCCCCAAGAGAACCCTGAACCCCAAGCCTCTCAAACCCTGAATCCTGAGTCCCTGAACCCTAAATCCGAATCCTTGAATCCTAAACCCCAAAATCCGAGAGCCGAAACCTTTAAACCCAAATCCTAAATCCTGGACTTTCCCTTGACCCTGAGCCCTAAACCCAAAAGCCGAAAACCACCCCCAAGTCGCCTCCGCAGCGTTTTTGCTCTCGAAGCCGGAAAGCCCCGGGGCTGACGCGGCGAGGCAGCCGCTTTGAGGGTGTTTTAGAGTTTAGGGTTTCGGGTTTGGGGGTTTGGGGTTGAGTGGGGAAGTTCGAAGTCTTTTAAAAGTTGTGTTTGGGAGCTTCGATAAGGCAGCTAAGCCCGCAAGCATGAGACTTAAAATTGGCAGGCCATGCGAGCCACTGCGCGGCTGTGGGCCGCGACGCTTGCCAACCAAGTGCAAATGTTTGCCGGTCAGGTGTAGGCTTGTCGGGTTTCGGGCATTTCCTTGCATTCGAGCTTTTAATCTCCACAAGGGCCATTTTGTCCCATTTTCCTTCCTCTAGAAACCCTAACAGCACCAAAGCTTTATCAGCTTCTCGGTTTGGTTTTCCGGCTTGGCGTGGTTGTCCCTTGACGGGTCTTTCGGGCTTTCTGCTTGGGCATGCTATGGTACATTCTTCTGCAGAGCAACTGTCCATCGGGCGCAATCCTCCATCCTAACCTGAGCCGTAAACCCTCAGCCCTCAATCCTGATACCTAGGCCCCAAACCCCGAACCCCAAGCCTAATCCCTGAACCCCAAACTCCAGACCCCAGAGATGTGACGAAGAGTCACTTTGAGGTCCTTCCGCGCTCATGCGGCCGTCAAGCTTGCACATCCCACTGCAGGTGGGGTTTGGGGTTTCGGATTTGGGGAAAAGAGACTAGGGTTAAGGATTTAGGGTATGGGGTTTCGAGATTGAGTTTAGCATAGCCTCAAGGAGGGCCTCGGGCAATAGCCAGGTGGGAAGTTATTGAGCAGCATCCATACCCGATAGGTGGGGTACAGCGACATCGATAACAAGAGCGAAGACAGCAATAGCAACAACACGAACAACAGCAACAGCAGCAGCAACAACAGCAGCAGCAACAACAACAACAAGAACACCAGCCACCACAGCAACAGCGGGCAACTGTCCAACATGGCTTTATGCTACCTGGCTTTCCAGTACTACTGGTGTCAGTGCTGTGCGTGCTGTCCTCATGATGAGTTGTAGGATATGCTGACTGCAGCCGTGATTTCAACAGATGCAAGAGTGATGGACAAGTCGCTCTTGCCCGCAGATCGGAATATGCTGTTGTTCCCCTATTATGTTGAAACAGGATACTACCATCAGCGGCAGCACCCGCAATTCCCGGAAACGAGCTTGATTCCTTGTCTTAAAAGGCTGGCACTTAGACCCCTGCTTTTCCAAGCAAGGCACAACAATCCAAGCCTGCCTTCCTCGCCCCTGGCGCCGAATGCCTAAGCCCTGAACTCTGAACTCTGAACCCTAAACTGCCCTAAACCCTGATTCGAAATCCATGAACTTCCGGAGCCTTCACGTTTTACCCATTCTGGACCCTCGAGCGATGACGGTGATCATGATGACGACGACGATGATCCGATGAGTGTCAGTGGAAAGGCCGCCGCAGACTCGCTGCTGCTGCTGCACTTGGTGCCGGTGCCGCTGCAGCTGCCGGGCACCAAGGATAGGGATCGAGTTCTACTACTACTACTACTACGACGACGACGACTACTTCTACTGATGCTGCTGCTGCTACTACTACTAGTACGACGGCGACGACTACTACTGCTACTACTACGACGACGACTACTACTTCTACTCCAACTAACTACTACTACTACTACTACTTCTGCTCCTGCTGCTGCTGCTGCTGCTGCTGCTGCGGCTGCTGCTGCTGCTATCAGTAGTAGTAGTAGTAGTAATAATAGTAGTGCTACTACTACTACTACTACTACTACTACTACCACTACTACTACCACTACCACTACCACTACCACTACCACTACCACTACCACTACCACTACCACTATCGCTACTGCTGCTACTACTACGACGACGACTACTTCTACTCCTACTACTACTACTACTACTGCTACTACTACTCCTACTCCTACTCCTACTACTACGCCCACTCCTACTCCTACTCCTACTCCTACTACTACTACTACTACTACTACTACTACTACTACTACTACTACGATTCACGACGATGACTGCTGCACTACTATGCTTACACATACACACTCGTCTACTACTGCTGCTGCTTTACTTGTTTGTACTGATGGTGAAAAATGCTGTGGCTGGTACACCATGACCATCTTGCTGGCAGTAGTCGCAGTCGCCGAGGTGACCTCCACGCAGCAGCGCCCGGCTTTCTGCCTGTCAGCGAGTGTCCCGAAGGAGCTCTGAGCATCTCTGCATCGGGATCATTATGATGATCTTTCTGATGATGATGCTGATTATGGCGACGATAAACTCGTGACGATGGCATGGAGCACGATGATGATGCTGATGGTGACGGTGATGGTAATGACCTCACTGCTGCGATTGGGGATGTATACAAAGACCAGGCGACGAGCAATGCGAGGCGCAGGACACGATATTACGAACTGATAATGGTGATGGTGCTGATGACGACGAAGATGAGGACCTCCTGCTGCTGCTGCTGCTGCTGCTGAGATCAGGATAGGTGAGTATCGGTAGAAGCGGGTGTGATGACGATCATCATGGTAATGGTAATTGAGGATGGTGATGATGATCATGATGGTTGTGACTATGGTGACGATGCTGCCGATGACGGGGAGGATGATGGCGCCGATGAGGATGATGAAGATGATGATGTAGGATGAGTGTCGCGGAGCATTTTGCTGGGGACAATTGCGATGACGAGCATTATGGCCTTGCGAGGGCGATGAGAACGACAACCATGAAGACGTTTATTATCATGATCAAAGGTGGTAATTTTTTGATGATGGCGAAGATGAGCATGACGGTGACATCGCCGGGATGGGAAAGAGCACTGCTTGTGGGATGTTGGCGGTGGGGGAGCCCGACAGAGGTCTGCACATTTGTGCAGTAGCCATGTTCTCTCCTAGCCCCTGTATAACTGTACTAGAAACCCTAAACCCTAAACCGTTCCAAGTACCAAGATTCTGACCATGAGGCTATACTCAGAGAGCCCAATACCCCGTAGTTTAGGAATACACCTTACTTAAGCTATTAGGGAATTGATAATATAATTCAAGCTATATTCCTTAATTGAGGGTATTGGGCTCTCTGGGTACACTTCTGGAGGCAAAACTGTGGCTGGAAGGAGTATGCAAGTAGTGTCAGTGTTCGGATGGACTTTTCTATCTTTGCGTAGGCAGGTACCTTCGTAATGTCGCCACCAGAGGTAGTATTTCGGTGTATTATATTGATTGCCCAGAGTTGCTTCAAGTCCTGCATAGAAACAAGAATATTTTCATATACTCTACAACCCTGTCTTATATTGAGTTTTTCGGGCCTTTTGCCCGAATCTGCCTGAGCTGTACCTACTCTGGACGGCTTGTCACAGGTTAGTGTAAAGAGTGGAAAGATTGACGCCCGGAACGTCCCTTTGTCTACCCACGCCCACATCACTCCCAACGCTTGAACGCTCAGTCTTTGAAGCTCCACTTGGAGATTCGTGGGTAGGTATTATGGGTTGTAATTATGGTTCCCCTACTTATAACCCCACTTATAACTACCCATGGACCTTTCAGCACCTTGTGGAGGAGAATAGCAAGGCGGAGGCCGCGTGGGAGTCGGGATGGTTAGTCCGATGCACAGATTTCGCTGGGGTTTTGGGGTCCCTTTAAGGGGTGATTCGAGATGGAGAGCGAGACAGACTAAATTTCTGAAGCTCAAAGCCTCGAGACCTCAACCCTGCGTGTTTCTGGTCCTGGGAAGCTTCTTGTGGCTTCTCTGGGGGCTTCTCTGGGCTGCACCTTCGTGACTCGTCCCCGCGACAGTCAAGGACCAGAAGCCCTGTTCTGCGACTGAGCCTGGGTCTGAGCAAAGCCCAACTTCCCTCAGCACAGCCAGCAATCTCACATCTGGCATCGTCTCCAAACCTTAATAGTAACAGCATTCTTTCAGGGCTCTATAAGGGTTCTATAAAGGTTCTATAAGGGTACTTCAAGGGTTCTATAAGGCTGGTGATGATGATCATCTTTGGGGCTCCTACAGCAGCTCCGGCAGGTGCTTTCCAGCCCCGGAATTCACATGCTCATGACCGTCATCCGTGGCCTGGTTGCTACTTGGGGGGTCGGGGGACTTAGTAAGTAGTTACTAATTAGACTTATAAGTACCCTAAAAGGGACCCTAATTGGGGTTATTGTACTTACAATTCCCTAAAATAACCAGTTACTAAGTCCCCCGACCCTCCAAGTATCCGACTTGAACGCTTTCTTTACTCCGAAGCCCAGAGCCCGAAACCTCGAAGGCTTGAAGCCCACTACAGGGGCCTAGAGAATTACCAATATCATATTTTTGCGGATTCCTCACTGTAATTGTAGTATAATGGGCCCCAAAACCCTATTCTAATTTTGAAGATCTCCTCTAGATGATCCTAAGACTCCCTATTATAACTGTAGTAGAATGGGCCCCAAAACCCGATTCTAATTTTGAAGGCCCCTATACCATAGTACCCTTATAGATCCCTTATAGTATCCCTTATATAGACCCCTTTAAAGGAACCCTATTCCAATTTTGAAGGCCCCTATCATAAATGATCATAGGACTCGCATCCTTCAGACCTGACCCGGAGGAGCTTCAAACCCTCAGTCATTAGGATTTAGGGTTGAGAGTGTTAGGGTTTAGGGGTTTAGGATTTGGGGTTTAGGGGTTTAGGATTTGGGGTTTAGGGGTTTAGGGTTTGGGGTTTAGGGTTTAGGGTTTAGGGTTACTTTAATGTTTGGGGGTTTAATCTAGGGCTCTAAGAATTAGAATAGGGTTTTTGGGCCCCTTTATGATTGTTGTCGTTCTTGCTACCAGCTTTCTTGTTATCCTCACCATTGCTTTTCTTCTTCTTGTTGCCGGTCCCTTGCGCCCAGGTGACAAGCGGACCGATCAGGCCTCCGCACGGCTCGACTCAGTTCGCTAGTTTGGATTCTGCCTTCTCGTCAAGAGAAAGAGGGACGTCCTTTGTTGCTTATCGTAGGAAGTGGGTCGGGGATCTGCCATGCTGCGCTTTGTTAGCTGTTTAGGGGCCTGCATACAGGCCTTTTGTAGGGTTTAGCTTCATGAACTACCCTAAGCCCTAAACCCTACACCCCGAATTAAACCCTAAACCCTAAACTGTTCCTACATTTTTTGAGAGAGGGTGGCTTGTGAGGCCTTCGATCCCGTGCTTTCATGACCGGGCTCGAGGGCTCAAATCGTAGAAGCGCGACTTATGCTTAGGAACTCCCATATTACGTAAGTAGAGATCCCGCGCTGAGGGATTCTTGGTAGAAGTCAAGGAGCACTGTTGGAAAACCATGGTTTTGGGATTTCCGGGGTAGATTTGGTACAGGGCTGCGCAATTTTGACCTTTCGTGTTCAGCTTCGGATTTGCGTCTCGGTTCTTGGGATCGCGGCTTGGGGTTCGGAGTGTAGGTTCTCTCAGCGGCTCACTGAGAAGCGATCCCCGGCCCACATACCTTTTCTGGTGGCGGAAGTTGAAGGTACTCAGAGTTACTTAGAGGTTCATGGGTAGTTATAGGTAGGGTAGAAGTCCCTTAGTATGGGTTATAAGTACACTTACCCTACTTATCACCCTACTTATAACTACCCATGAACCTCCAAGTAGAGCTGGTTCATGATGGCAATCCCTGCTCGGAGTCTTCGCCCCTAGTGAGCTTTCGTCTTCAAAAACAGACGCTCTCGGTCCCTCGCAAAGGGTTCAGAGCACAGTTTACGGCTTCTTCAACCTTCATCGATACCCGCATGCCTTCAACCGCTCTGAGCCCCAGCAACCCCTCGGGCAAACCATCTAAGTCTTGGATTCTAAGACCCTGAACCTGAACCCCGAACTCGCCTAAACCCTGCACCATTCTTTGCTTGTGCGAAGCTGATGGGAGGCGGAGTATGTGCGAACGGTGGATAGGCTCATGGCCATTTTGGCCGAGGAGCTCTCATTGAAGTTTCATCGGAACAATGCGACTATAGCCGCGTCTCAGTCGGAGCTTGATACGATGATTGTATAAGGTCTGTCGTGACCTATGCCGGTCTTTTGTGAATAGCCATCTGGTGTTACTGCGTTCAAGCTAAGTTTAGGTGCGTGTACACACACGCACATATATATATATATAATATATATGTGTATGTATATATATATATACATACATACACATACATACGTATCTATGCATACATGTGTATGCACGCATGCACATCGCTTTCACGGTTAAATATGCAAGTTCACGACTAGAGACATCCAGAGGCTGTTTCAGTCCTTTGTCGTTGTTGTGTGTTGCCATGTATGATCAATTTCCATCTCATATTAACAACGAGTGTAGATTTGTGTTCTGTATGTAGCATGTTGACGCGGATGCCAGCGCGTGCAGCACCTACCCGCCCGCCCCGACCCACCCGCCCGCCGCCCGCCCGTTCGCCCGTTCGCCAGCCCGCCGCCTCCCTACCTACCTACTTACCTACCTGCCTTGCTATACCTATCAAGCTGCCTACCTACTTGCAAACCTGCATACATGCATGCTGCATGCATACATACACTTGTACATATCTGGCTTGTCTATGAGTAAGTCTGTTGGTGCGTATCGATTGGAAACCCATACATGCCTGCCTGTCTGCCTGTCTGCCTGCCTGCCTGCCTGCCTGATTGCCTGTCTGTCTGTCTGTCTGTCTGTCTGTTTGCCCTTATGTGTGTGGGTATGTATGTATTATGTACGTATGTATTTATGTACGTATGTACGTGTGTACGTCTAGGTCGGCAGGGAGGCAGGCAAGGCAGGCGCCAACAGAGCAAAACCAACATAAAGACCTTAGTGGCAGTGATGCTGATGTCGTGCAAGATGAACATGTGGATGTGTCGATAATGATGATGACGTCGGTGGTGAGGACGATGATGACAGTAAGTGATGACGGCGACGACGGCGATGATGATGAAGCAGATGATGATGATGATGACGATGCTGGTGGTGGTGTTGGTGGGCTGGGCCAACTACATCGGAACAGAGTGTGCAGGAGGGCATTGCTAGGCTGCCCAGCGTGAAGCCACAGGCGCGACAATCCTCTTGCAGCAATTCTCGGGTTTTGGGTTCAGGTTTGGGTTTTGTTGTCGTGAGCCTTTCTTGCTTGTTTGAGGTGTAGGGTTAGTTCAGGGTATGGAGTCTCTTGCGGCAGTGGCGTGCTGCAGTCCCACATGGTGAACCTGAAACCAAAACATTAGTTTCCCAGCCCAGATTTTCGACGACGCAGGCCCTTCGTTGCGAATGTAGCATTTGAGGGATAGGGTCAAACACCGAAGGTGTAGGGTTTTGGGGTTTAGGGTTTTGATTTAAGCAAGCATTTTGTATGGTAGCCCGGTAGACCATTGTTGGGATAGGTACCTGACAAGAACTGGATTGACACGCCCAAACCAGCAACAGCCTACTTACAAGGCAACTCAATCCTTGAAGTGTAAATTCATTCCCAAAAGCCCCAAACGCACCCCAAAACCCTTCGGCGTCAATGCCGAAAATCCCAAGCGACTAAAACCCAGGATCAAGAATGCCCCTCAGAAAATCTTTTAACACATAAACCCTATATAAAGCCTTCTATGAAGTCCTTGTAACCCCGCTGACACCCTAAACCCTAAACCTTAAGACCCTAAGCCTCCACCCATGAACCTCAAGACCCTCCCCGTTTCGGCATGAACGCAGGTCATAGAGACGCCTTGTGGCACCTACCAGGGTGTCACCTCCCCGGATCCGCACACGATCTGTGCCGTGGACCGGAGATCGACGTGTTGGGCATTTTTTTTGGGGGTTTTGTGGGTTTTCCAAGTTTTGCGTTTTCTTTTTGCGTTTTCGTTTTTTTTTGGGTTTGGGGTTAGGGTTCGGCCAGTTTAGGGTTCAGGGTTCCGGATTTGGGTTTAGGGTTTTGCTTTAGGGTTCAGGGACGGTTTAGGGTTCAGGGTTCAAGGTAGGCTATTCTCGAAACCATCTTTATCTTTAGCCGTTCCGAACCGCCCAGGCGAGCCAGCAGCTGCAATAGCATGTAAAAGAATGGCAGACACCATCTTACCGCCAGAAGCAAGCCGTCCGAAGCTTCGGGTAAGAGGTTCGATAGATTTACCAATATTGTTCCGCATGGTTCCTGAATGTAGATGCAGTATGTTATACCCCCAAACCACGTTGCTCTGATTATGACGGCCACTGTGTTAACAGAGCGAATGCAAAGGAAGATTTCAACTGTTTAGAATCTTTGCTGCACTGGTCCTGCACATGGGGGCTAAACTCAGAGCACGACACTTAGTCTGAGCTGACATCACTTGCGGGTTCAAATTGCAGTTAGAAGACGGGTATTGAGCAAGGTGACGAGCAGTATATCTCACGTAGTTGCTTACTTTATCATCTAGAAACATATACATACCCCTAAACCCTAAACCCTAAAACCCTAAACCCTAAAAACCTAAACCCTAAAACCCTAAACTCTAAACCCTAAACCCGTGTCTTATCACCATTCAAGAACTTTCAATCAGTTCCTGAACCCACTTGCCACGACCCTGACGTTCCAGTAACCCTGGAGCCCTAGGCTGGAATTCTGCAATCCGCCATTGTACTTAAGGGCTCCTTTAAAGGGGATTCTAAGGGTCCCTTTAAAGGGCTCTATAAGGGTAGTGTAGGGTTTAGGGTTTAGGGGGACTTAGTAAGTAGTTAGTAAATAGACTTATAAGTACCCTAAAAGGGACCCTAATTGGGGTTATGGTACTTATATAAGTCCCTGAAATAACCAGTTACTAAGTCCCCCGACCCTCCAAGTAGAACCTTCACGGGATACCTTATATATAGCATCCGTATAGAACAGTACTCAGCTTGCATAAAACCCACATACTCCCCCCCTATATATATATATATATGCATATATATATATATATGCATATATATATATATATACATATATGTATATTCATTTTCACACACTGCACTATACTAGACTAGACTCGACTAGACTATATTAATGTACTAGACTATAGAACTTTATATTATGTGGTACATTTAATATCAAGTTAGAACATATTGTAATAGAATGCGCTATATCATATCACATTGCATTATAATTCAGGATATTGTACCATATTGTGATACATGATAATGATTTATGGCACATGACATAATAGTATAATAAAGTATAGCAATACATTCTAACATGTTCTTTTATGTTTTGTTATTCTCTGTTATAATATTATATACTACATTGTATTATCTTATCTTTTGTTATGTTATGTGTTGTTATGTTGGTTAGTTCATTTTTACTCTGTCGTACTATGGCCTGTTCCGTTATATGGCATTGCACCATACCACATTATATTATGTTGTGCTGGACTATGAACTATTGTACTGTATTGTGCTGCATTGTATTATGCCGTGATTTTTTGCAAAGACCTTGTTTGCAGGTTCCGACCCTAAACCCTAAACCCTAAATCCCTAAACCCCAAAACCCTAAACCACTAAAACCCCTAAACCCCTAAACCCCTAAAACCCCTAAAGCCCGTAAACCCCCATACCCCAAAACCCTAAATTGCAGGACATCGTCCGCTCCGGGGGCATCCTTCTAGAGGCCTCTGGGCTCCCACTCGGAAGGGCAATGAGTGGTTGGAGGTGTCCAAGTTCTCTCTACATCGGTTTAGGGTTTAGGGTTTAGGGGTTTCTAGATATACGGATGTTGGGGTAAAGAAGAGGCAGATGAATGAATGCATCATGAGTGAATGAGTGAATGAATTAATGAATGAATGAATTCAGGACTGAATGAGAGTGCGTGAAGGAAGGGAAGGAAGGGAGGGATAGTGGGAGGAAGAAAGGCATGACTACAATGAGAAGGTGAATGGGTTTGTGAGTGAGAGAATAAACGAGCGAATGAAAGCATCACTTAATCAGTGAATGTATGAACGAATGAAGGTAGGAAGGAAGGATTGAATGACTGAATGGAATGACATGAAATGAAATGAACGAACAAGTCCATGACACTGAGTGAGTGAATACATGGCTGAGTGAATGAGTTGATGCAGAAGTTGACCATTATACAATTCGATGACCATCTCTTGCACTCTATGGGTAGACCCTCCACGTGTCAGGACGTTCAGCCGGGGCAGGGTTCAGGGGATGTTGATAGGGCTGGGTAGTCGCAAGCCGTAGGTGCTTGGACCTTCAAGTATCACGTAGACCCTAGGCCCTATATCCTGCACTTTGGGCCCTAACCCCAATCCTTGAACCCTAAACCCTACAAAGAAGCCTCATCCATTTCGTGTCGAGGCGGTTCGACGCGTCCTACCGGAACTCAAGAATCTCGACTGCACATGCCCATACCCACAAGCCAAAGTCCAAGCCAGCGATTTGGCCTTGATGTGTTTCTAAACGTGCTTTCCAGCTGTGGTTTGTTGTCCAAAAATGAACCCTAAACCCTAAACCCTAAACCCTAAACCCTAAACCCTTCGCAGGCCTACTTTTCGCTTCTTGCAGCGTTGTTTTGACTCCGCCCACTTTCTGCACATCTGCTCTCAGGTTTGTTCTACATTCCTAAACCCTTAAACCCGTAGCTCTCTCTGGGGAGTTTAGGGTTTAGGGTTTAGGGTTTAGGATTTAGGGTTTTAGGGTCAAAGCTCAAGCCGATGTGCCCAAGTTCGTAGATCGCGAAGGCTGAAGAGCGTGTTCTAGCGGTTTGGAGCGCTTTTGTTGCCTTTGATTTGGGACTCCTGGTTTCCGGAAGTTTCGAAGTTTATGAGGGCCTGCCCTCTTTGGAATTCAGAAGTCGACTCAGAGACGACCTCTGGGGAGAACCTGGCATAGGCCTAGCAAGCTCTCCATGGACGGCTTATCATAGGTTTTCTTCATCTTCGAGATAGCTCTTTTAGTGGCACTCTTGTTTCCGAAGCTCGGTCAAAATGTGTTTACATAAGTGCCTGAAACTTCCATCGAGCACCAGATTCTGGTATGGCCAAACGCAGGTTGCGCCGTTGCACCCTCTCCGGCTAGTTTTGCATGTGTCCTATTGATGCTTTGAAGCCAGGTCTCGTCTAGACTGCCATACTGTTGATGGACAAAATCCTGCATGACCCTAAGGACTCTAAACTAGGGGAACTATGGTATATTCCTTATAAAGGCCAATGCAGGATTTTGTCCATCAGCAGTAAGCATAAAGCTATGGTGAACATCACCCAAAGGCCTGAAATGCCCCATGCATTGCCGGCCTGCGCACTCGAAAAAATCGAAGGATTAACTGAACCCTAAGACCTAGACCCTAAACGGTTTAGGGTTTAGGGTTCAGGGTTAAGACCCACATAAACCTCAGAAGCAGTGTGAAAGATACCGGCCTTGTTGCAAGGACTGCGAAGATCTTGATCCAACGAAATGAGGCTGCGTTGGGGTCCTTGCGAGTGACACAAAAGCACCATTCTATGGGAGTGGCAGGCTTAACTTAGAGCTCTGGGCTTGTTTCCATCCTTCTTTTTTGTACAGGCATTCGAAGCTTGTTCATACCATGCGTGCTGTCTTCAAGATCTGTGCTATATCCATCTGCCCTAGTTGTAGCCTTAGGCGGAAGAGGGCACAACCTGTACATAGGTGGACAGCTAAGTTCCAATCAGTGCCAATGGCTCAGCCACTCGAACCCTACAAGCCTGAAGAGCGAGCCTCCGAGCCTTAAGCCGAACCCTGCACCCAAAACCCTAGAACCTTAAACCCGAAACCCTGAACCCTAAATCCTACACGGGCTTGGGGTTTGATAGTCTAGCGTTGTCTGGTTTAGTCTACTTTAGGGGTTCCTTGGCCGCAGGAGACGGCCCTCCCGATGCTCTACTACTCGAAGCTTCCGCCGAACATCTCGAAGCTGCGGGGTGCCTAAAGGGCTTTGGGCGCCGGGCTTGCTTGTGACCTCACTTCTAAGTCTACAATGGGGAGCTAGGATTTCGTAATCAGGTTTCTACATTCCCAGAGATCCCAACACCCCTTAATTACGGAATATACCTTTAAATCATAATATTAGGGCCTCTATAATTTAACGTAAATTCCTTAATTCAGGGGTATTGGGTTCTCCAGGTTAATCCTTGAAGCAGTTTTTTCGAAGCTGGAGCCTCGTGATCCCATGCAACCTGCACTCCCCGAAGCTTCGAACCACGAACCTGAGCCCAGCAGCATCAACACGCGCTTGACGCTTTCGCACCCTTTAGGGAGGGGCTTCGAGTTCAGGGGGTGGCAGCGATGCCGAGACGATGGCGACTGAAACTTAGATAGCAGTGTTGCATTTCAATCGACCACCATAATTTGAAATTCAATATCTCAGCAAGCCCCAAGGCTTTCGTCTGTGTGTATGCATGTATGTATGTGTGTATGTATGCATGCATGTAGACTATAAGCACATGCATGTACATGTGGGGGTTTCCGAAAATAGGGGACCCTAAAATAGTACCCTAAATAGTAGGATTCTTATTATAAAGACCCCAAAATAAGGTACCCCTAATTTTCGGAAACTCCCATGTATGTGTTCCAAACTCTTGGCAAGCTGGCGGCGGTCTTGCGGCATCTTGCTGTAGAGGCGTCAAGTGGCGATAGTCATCATCTAGCCGAGTTCCAGTCTCCAAAGCTTACTTCGGCATCTGGCCGAAACCAGGGCTCTTGTTCAAGAATCTTTTTAAGTTCCCAGAATGGGGATCTGCAGTACATAACGTGGTTTCTTTATTCTGGGAACTTAACTTAAATCCTTTAGTCCTAAACCCTATATTGAACCCTTATAGATCCCTTAAGGAACCTTAAAAAATATGGTAGTTTAAGTTAAATCCTTTCAATAAGAACCCACAAACTCCATGGCTGATTCCCGATTCCGTCGGGGCAACGGTCCCAAGAGGCAGAAACCAGACGTAGTTGGAGGGGCCTGAATAATTAGAGTAGGGTTCCTTTAAAGGGTTCCTTATAGGGGATACTATAAGGGACAAGGGATTTTGGGATATAGGGGCCTGAATAACTAGCGATACTATGTTGGGGGTTCCTTATTATGAGTGTAGTAGTATATACCCCCAAACTCAATTCTAATTATTCAGGCCACTACATTACCCCAAACCCGAGACTTCTTGCAGCCCCTGCAAGCATGTAGTGCAATGCATCTCGGAAGCGTCCCAGGCCTTCATAAGCTCGAACTAGGAAGCCTGGCACCGAAACCCTAAACTCCAAAACCAGAATTTAGCATTACGCCGCCGCATAAGCCCTTTACCCTAAACCCTAAACCCTATAAGGCATATCCTGCTTTGTGATCCTATGCTGGGAACTGGCGGGTCCTCTTTGATGGCTATAGAGGCCGGTTTGGGGTTTCAGGAGTCCGTGATGAGATGTTTCGAGGGTCAGAAGTGAAACCCCTAAACCCTAAACCGTAAACCCTAAACCCTAAATCTTAAACCCTGTGGCTTCAAGTTCGGGAGGATGAGCTGTTTTTTGACAGGGGGCTTGGGTCTGGGGTGGAGCATGTTGGCGTGGCGTAGTTTACGTAGGGAGAGTACTTTAGTCTAGACTCTCGACCTCACACCCCAAGACCCGAAATCTCATAAGCCCTCAACCCTAAACCCTAAACCCTAAACCCTAAAACCCTAAAACCCTAAGCTCTAAACCCTAAACCCTAAACCGCCTAAATTCAGGGATCCACCTGAGACCCTAAGGCAAATCATACTTTGTGATCCCATGCTGGCTACCGGTGGATCAGCGCTGATGGCTATCGAGGCTTATCCCAAAGCTTCCGAGGGCGAACGCTTAGAAAGATACACAAGTACTATAGTCTCCTGTGGAATTATGTTTGTTCATATTTGTTCATATAAAACTCAAGAGAGTTTTACAACTATTTGTTATTATGGTTCTAGGGGGGGTATAGTGTAGAACATGCGTAAGGGCTCAAGAAAGGGATACTGTTTTTATGGGTCTCTGTAAGCGACTTTTCGTGGGTCACTAGGGGGGCCATGGATGCAGGGTATACATATGGAGTAGAAATAGCGTAAAAGCTCGTGTATTTGTTCCCTTGCTGATCCGATTGATAGCCAATAGCAGCACTTGGAAGAGCACCGTGAAGTACCGAAGTGGCAGTGGCTGTAGACATCCCGGAACCGTGTTATTGTCATCACTAGAGGAGTATAGTAGAGAGACCGCCCCCAAGACACCCAGCGGGTGGGTGAAGAGGGGTTCAGACTTTATTTAACCACTTCTGTGACCACCTCTGTACTTTTTTTGCGGATGTAACAATCAACCATGAACCGAAGCCCCACCTGAAATCCCAAATCCTACGAGTTTAAAGGACTTATACGAGGACATCAGAACAAGGCACCCTAGAAGACGTGGGGTTGCCAGGGTTCGGACAGAAGGAGAATGATGATGATTCGATGGCGGTGATCACGGAGGTGACTGCGACCGTGATAGTGACGATGATGATGGCATTTTTTGTTGCCTGGTGAAAGACAATGAGCATAACAATCGGATTACGATGATGATGCTGATGATGACGACGGAGAGTCTGTTTCATCTGTCTGTGATAGTGTGACATGCCGCCAAAACCTCGATTACTGCTGTGTTTTGTGTCGTTGCATTTTTGCGTGTCATGAGCGGGACAATCGATAGTGCTAGTTTGAAGTCCTGTGATTGTGCACTTGGCGAGAGTGGGTACTTTGCTACTGCAAACGCATGCCCGAACTCCCCAGACCGAGATCTAAGCCCATATGCGTGAACACGATGAAGTCGCAGTATGTACACCAATTCATGAAGTCCTTCTCCTTCCGTCGCCTGCATGTGTGGCCCAAGCTGCACCACTTAGCTCCCAGAAGCTAGAAGTCCTTTTGTTTGTCTGCCATATCCAGACAACTCATGCGCCTCCTGCCCTTGACGATGGTTTGTGTGGGCCTGATCCAGCAGGGTGGAGCAACACGCCACCAAGTGATCAAAGGTTCCGAGACTGAGGCAACCGAGCAGGGTCTCGTCGTGTGCTGCAACTTTCACGGATACCTCTCAACAGAGAAGGATGAAGCGGCGTGCAACGGCAATCCCGTCATGAAGTACGGACCATGTGTGAAGGAAGACTATCAATGCTGCTACTGCGACAGGCGCTATTACACAAAATTTGCAGGAGATCAGACCTGCCGCTCCTGCTCGGTGTCAAGTGGGCCTTGTCACCGTATGCGTTAGTGAGGCCCCAGAGATGCGGCTATGCTTCGCACTGACGCAGATGGAGAGAAAGAGACATGGTAAATTACAATGTTATATATATATGTATGTATATGTATATGTATATGTATATGTATATGTATATGTATATGTACATGTACATGTACATGTACATGTACATGTATATGTATATGTATATGTATATGTATATGTATATGTATATGTATATGTATATGTATATGTATGTGTATATGTATATGTATATGTATATGTATATGTATATGTATATGTATTTGTATTTGTACATACAGATCTACTACCGGATGCTTGTTTTCTGACAGAGAACCTGGTTTCCCCAACTGTTAATCCCCCTGCCCAGTGCCCTTAGCGGGCCCACTACCCCCCAGCCCCCATAAATATATAAGGATTAATTTTCGAAATGTTAAGTAATTATATTACTTAAATATGATCTATGATATTTAGCACCAATCAATAAATAACAAATCTTGTTTTCATAAATGAATTTATTCGATGATAGATTCATCCAGTAATATTCTAAATCAGCTATGATTACTTTTCCCTTTCATAAGATCTATTCTAGAATTAGAATTCGTTTCTATTATGCATGAGTCCCGTAGACACTAAACCCCACAGGCCTTGGGGTTCAGGGCTCCTGAGTTCGAATCGAACCTCAAACAAGGCTTTCTAAGCCATGCCGTCCCATACCTACCTTGGCCTACGAAAACCTAGTTTTTGTATGGTCCTATGCGCTCTATATTCTGGTCGTTTAACAAGACCCTACAAAAATCCTAGGTTATCGTAGCCTAGTGTACTGCTTCAGATATGCGAAGATTTTGCATCAACTAAAGCGCTCAGCCTCAAGATTACCCGCTGCAGCCGAAACTCCTTTGGAAGGTAGCAGGTTAGGTTTCGGGTTCAGGGTTTATGACAAATTGTCAGTATGCTCTAGGGACCCTTATTATATATGATCCAACCCCCATTCTAATCATTCAGGCCCCTGTATGAAGTTTCTTCCTCCGGCACGACGCCCGAACCCTTCAAGAGGCAGTGAGATCTTGTTCTGTCATGAAAATCGTAGTAGGGTTCGGGGTTCCTCCAGATTCCGCCGCAACAAAGGCTGTTGGGTTTTTTTTCAGGATTGACTGGTTCAGTCTTAGAGAACCTGCTTCAGCTAAAGTGGGCTTCGAGGCTTCTTGTAGTTTCTTTGGGAGGGGACCGTGAACCACATGTGCAGGTCTTGAAGAAGGCGGGGGTGAAGGAGGACGGGAGTGGCATGAAGGGTGCGGGCCTGGGGTTTCAGAGTTTCGACGGTTTCGGCCCCTTCAAGCCGTAAACCCTGAAGCCCTAACGCCGACAGCCCGAATCGTAAGCTGCATGGTGGTTGCCGCTCTAGTTTCGTAAAGATTATCGCGGAGTCATGGGGCTCAATTTCCTAGGCTTTGTTCATGCTTAGGTTAGGAACCCAGCAAGAAGCACTGACTGCTCGCCAAAATTTTGGGCTGGGTAATGTGTTACACCACACGGTCTATGTTTAAAATCGTGTGGAGTGAAAACCCCTAAACCCGAAATCCCAGGCATTAACCCCGACACCTAAACCTTGCGGTTTGTCGCAGGAGAACATCCTTTTCATCAACGTCGTCTCTTGCCCCGAGGGCCTTAAAGCCTTGGCAGAGAAGGCCTTGGGCTGGATGTACAAGAGTAAGGTTTCTTTACGGGTTCCTTCAAAAGAGGCTTAACAGGGTTACAAGGGTCCATTGCGGTTGTATCGCATAGGCGTTTTAATATTTCGAGCAGGGTTTTGGGGGTAAGTTGTAGAGGAATCATGTTGGTATTTGTGTCGGAATGGTTAGTACTCCGATCTTCCATTCTAATTCCCATAAACGCGCCACCAACACCCTAGTCGAATTGTCACGGCGTCCGCAGTCGGGTTTGCAGGCCTTGAGATTTAGAGTGTGGGTTTTGGAAGTCTAGCGCATGGCTAGATTTCTTCGAATTTCGGGGTGTCCGGGAGAAGGCTGATGGGTTTACGATTAGCTTCAGTGCTGTCGGGTTTTATGGTCTGGGTTTGCGGATGTAAGGGTGAAGGGCCCATGCATTGCTTTTGTGGGTTTTCAAACGATGTTTGGGTCTGGTGCCCGGTCGGTATGTTTTCAGTTGCAGGGTATCCAGAAACCTACAGTCAAAGCCCGCTGCTGGAGATCGCAAACCAAACCCCAACCTTCGACCCACCTGGAAGAACCCAAGCTCCATCCCCAAAGCTTAGTATAGAAGGCAGTAGCAGTGGCAGTGGCAGTCGCAGTCGGAGTGGCAGCAGCAGTAGCAGTAGCAGTAGCAGTAGCAGTAGCAGTAGCAGGAGCAGTAGCAGTAGCAGTTGCAGTTGCAGTTGCAGTTGCATTAGCAGTAGGAGCAGTAGGAGCAGTAGGAGCAGTAGGAGCAGTAGGAGCAGTAGGAGCAGTAGGAGCAGTAGGAGCAGTAGGAGCAGCAGGAGCAGGAGCAGGAGCAGGAGCAGGAGCAGGAGCAGGAGCAGGAGGGAGGAGCAGGAGAGGAGAGGAGCAGGAGCAGGAGCAGGAGCAGGAGCAGGAGCAGGAGCAGGAGCAGGAGCAGGAGCAGGAGCAGGAGCAGGAGCAGGAGCAGGAGCAGGAGCAGCAGCAGCAGGAGTAGGAATAGGAATAGTAGTAGTAGTAGTAGTAGTAGTAGTAGTAGTAGTAGTAGTAGTAGTAGTAGTAGTAGTAGGAGTAGGAGTAGGAGTAGGAGTAGGAGTAGCAGTAGCAGTAGCAGTAGCAGTAGCAGTAGTAGTAGTAGTAGTAGTAGTAGTAGTAGTAGTAGTAGTAGTAGTAGTAGTAGTAGTAGTAGTAGCAGAGTAGCAGTAGTAGCAGTAGTAGCAGTAGTAGCAGTAGCAGTAGCAGTAGCAGTAGCAGTAGCAGTAGCAGTAGCAGTAGCAGTAGCAGTATCAGTAGTAGTAGTAGTAGGAGGAGGAGGAGGAGGAGTTGGAGTAGGAGTAGGAGTAGGAGTAGGAGTAGGAGCAGTAGTGGTCCTAGTGCTGCGAAAACCCCCCGACTCGAATCTTTCGGGCCCTTGACCACCTTAATTAAGGAGCCCCAGGCCCTAGATTCCAGCCCGAATTTCGCAGGCTCCCCTGGTGCGCATCCTCACCTGCGGCCTCGACACGCATCTGAACCAGGCGGGTTTGGAAATCCTAAAAGCCAAAACCTTAAACCCTAAACTGTAAGCCCTCAGGTCCAAGCCATAAACCTTCTACGGTTTCGGGCCTCGGGGCACCTGCCCAGAATTCAGGGCTTGAGACCCGCCATTTCAAAGAGGAGTTTTGGTGTATGGCATTGGACATTTTTTGCGGGCTCATCTGCGAATTTCTCCATTCCTCGTTGTGCAGCTTAGTTCTCGAGTCTACTTACGAGGATTCCTACACGCCTGTAAACCTGAAGCCTTCAAGCCCTGCTCTACTCACTCGTCACTCGTCCCCCTGGACTCCAAAGCCCTGGACCTTAACACGTCGCCCGGCTTTTTCATTCCATAAGCCGTCCATGAACTGACTCGACCATTGGTCGGCATCTGACCGATGGCCTCTCAATGTAGTAGCTTGCTGGAGGTTTTGGGGTCCTGGGCTCCGATGTTAGGGGTTTACAAATATATTCAGCTATAGTATTTTGGGGGTTCCTTATTATAATTATCGTATAATGGGCCCCCAAACCCTAGCCTAATTATTTCAGGCCCCTATGTTAGAGGTCCGAGGGCTATGTACGTTCTCCTGCCTCAGCCAGTGCCCGTGCCACAGGTCCTACAAAGCTTCACTTCATGTGCTAAGTCAAAACCACTTCCCTTCTCGCAACCCGCACTCCTGCGAACCGCTAAACCTCTAAACCCGAAGCACCACTGCATATCTGCCCCAAGCCAAGCACCAACACCTAGCAATCTAGGTAGCATGACAGGTACATTGCTTGTAAGCCCGTAACAGAGGCCAAATTCATCGTGCCTGGTCTCGGAGACTTCGGTGCGAGCCCCGCAAAGCAGAGTGTCTACGATGAAGGTCTTAAGATGGCACAGGCTCTGCCTGCGGCGTGGATTCTGTGTCTTCAACAGGAGCCAAATGTAAGCTTGCAGATCTAGACCTCAAGCTGGCTTGGGGAACTCCAGGTAGGTTTTATGCGTCTTGGGTCTGGCACTCCGCATCTTTCGGCCGCAAACTTGTGCAGGTGTAAAGGTTCGCCAGTTCGGTTTCGAGTTCAGAGTTTGGGGTTCCGGACTTGGTGTCTGGGTTGGGGCTGGTTTAGACCAACTCGAAGTCGTGCTTGCCGAGCTTTTTCATGGGGCCAGGGTGTCGCAATTCTTCCACTACGAATTGCGATGAGGAGGCGTTGGGATGTGAAGCGCCATGGGATGTTCTCTTTTTCTTGGGGTGACGGGTGTGCCACAACCTTAAACCCTATCCGCCACAGGGTCTGCTCGGACCGAGGCGACCGGTACTACGGCACCTTTGGCTATGCAGAAGGCCGCCGGTTTCCGCCTAAAGCTCTGGGGCACTTCAGGGTTTAGGGTTTGGCCCCAAAGTCCATCAACATCCGGACGGGCAGGAATGGCTCCCGGTAGCCACCGTTGTGATCACAATAGCCTAAAGAGGCATACTCAAACATGCTGTCAGTATGCTTCAATGTCCTTTCGCAACAGTGATCAGACCATTTTCTCTACTCCCTTAGGCCCTCTTCTTCTTGAGAGCCGACCCCGGGGTTTCACTGAGATGAAGATGCTCATCGCAAGCTCTAGAGTTTGGGATTCAGAACTAGGATGTTGAAGTTGGGGGTCCCTATAATAAGGATTATGGTATTGTGGGGTCTATATGGGGGTTCCTTATTTAGAGAAAGTGAGGCTTCTGTTTTGCGTGCTGAGCCTGGGGTTCAGGCTTCAGTCAGCTTCGCGGGCAGCTGGCGTCTAAGCTTGGACTTCAAATTAGAGCAGCCATTCTATCTTGCTGGGCAGCTTCTGGATTTCAGGACCCAAACCCTAAACCCCTAAACCCTAAACCCTCAACCCTCAACCCCTAACTCTAAGTTTTAAACCCCTAAACCCTCAACCCTAAATCCTTAACTCTAAGTTTGAGATCCCTAAACCCTCAACCCTAAATCCCAAACCCTACAGCCAAGAATGTCCGATGCGAAGCAGGTCCCGACCCACAACCCTAGAGACTCCAATATCCCCGTATTAAGGAATATACCTTAGGGTTCCGTCTATAGGGTTCCTTTAAGGGATCTAGAGGGTTTAGGCGATTTTAATATCCCTTAATTAAGGAATATACCTTAAATCATATTAGGGATCCCACTGTAATTTAAGGTATATCCCTTAATTAAGGGATATTGGAGTCCCTGAAAACCCTACAGCCTAAACCCGACGCGACACCGAAGCTCGGGCGAATCCAAAAGTCTAGCTTCTGAAACCCGAGCCAATGTGCTTCAGAAGTTCAAGCAAGGTTTTTCCAAAATTCAGACAACCAACGACCCGGCAGATGTGGATTCAAAAATCCAGACAAATCGCATCAACCCTAAACCCACATCCCTCAAGAGGCTTGTGGGGCGCCGGGCGATCCAGGATTTGATGAGCGCGACGGAGATCTGTCTGAAATGTTCAGGGCTCCTCTGCGGTTCTGTCTAAAAAACTCCAGATCTCAATTTAGGGACGCGCGTCATTAGAACAGCTAGTATCAAGTTTTTGCGGACTACGAAGAACCTCTGCATGAGGGTTTTGTCCGGGTTACAGCAACCCTCTCCACGGTAACGCGGTCCTATGTTTCTAGATCTCATGACTCTAATCATATCCTACTGACTAAACCCTAAGCCCTAAACCCTAAACCCAGTAACGAAAAGGAGCTGTCAACAAAAAAATCCTAAACCCACACCCCCCTAAACCCGAGACCCTAAAGCCTAACCCCAACCCCCCCTAAACCCTAAACCCTAAAGCTCTAAAGCTCATGTTATAAGTACCCTAAAAGGGACCCTAATTGGGGTTATGGTACTTATAAGTCCCTAAAATAACCAGTTACTAAGTCCCCGACCCTCCAAGCATGATCTTTCAAGCAGGCGAGGCCTGACCTGGCCTAAATTTGCTGAGGTGCGCACGGGGAAGTCCACCGGGACCGATCGAGGGATTCGGTGCCTGAAAGAACGCCCAGCCTTAGTTGAGGAATGTACCTTGGGGTTCCTTAAAGGGATCTATAAGGGATCTGTAGGGTTTAGGGTTCTGACCCCAAACACTAATACTAAACTCTAAACCTTAAACCCCCCACCCTGAAACGGTTCAGGATTTAGGAGGGTTGAGGGCTTATCGGTTTGGGCATCTATGTTTGTCAACTGATTATGCGGCACTGGGGTCAGCGGCTCAAGTCTAGAACGGTTCTTCGGACCCCAGGTAACGAGCAGTTTGTCAGGTTCCGGATGAGATTGTTTCAAGATACATCCAAGGTTCAGGGTTTATGGGTTTAGGTTTTAGGGGAAGGGATTTATCCTGAGGCTTCCTACAAGAGGGCAGTCCCAATGAACAAGAGCATATACGTATGTGTATATACACATGCGGCCCCCGACTAGAATCTACATGCTAGCCCACCCCAGCCCCCTCCCCCACCCGAATCTTTCATAACCCTAAACCCTAAACCCTAAACCCTAAACGCTAAACCCTAAACCCTGCATCCTAAACCCTAAACCCTAAACGCTAAACCCTAAACCCTAAACCCTGCATCCTCCATGCCACAGGTGCCTTGGAAACATCAGTCTTCGAAGCTGCAAAGCCCCAACCCCAATCTACACCTGTGCCTCAAGCTGCCTAAACCCTGACCCTTAAACCCTAAAGCCCTCAACTCCCTAAACCATAAACCCTAAAGCCCTAAATCTACCAGTAGTAGAGCTCTCTTTTTGCGAGACTTCTCCCGCTCCACCGCTGTTGGTGACCTGCATGGGGGAATCCCACGATGCCCTTTTGGGTGCTACTATCAGGGTCACTACAAGGGTTGTTAGAGGGGTTAATACAAGGTTTACTACAGAGGACGCGAGAAGTGTGACCGAAAGGCGTACTACAGGGGTCTAGAGGACTCACAATCCAACGCGTCCAACTTCAAATCCCTCAAATCCTAAACCCTAAACCCTAAACCAAAACCCTAAGCCCTAAAACCTCAGACCCTAGAGTTTCCTGTTTCGGGGCTTGCCGCCTTATGATTCCTCTGCAAGTCCGCACCGCATTAAAGCTCATCGACCGGGTGTTGGCCCAGCCGATGCCATCGGATGCTTGAGATGCAGGGCTCTTGTTTTCAAAAGAGGGCGATGCGAGCTTGTTTTGGCGGATGTAGGGAGGGAACATGCCGGCTTCCGCCTTCAGCACGGTGGCATCCCAGAGACTCCAATATCCCTTAATTAAGGAATATTCTTTAAATCATATTAGGGATCCTACTATAATTTAAGGTATATCCCTTAGTTAAGGGGTTTTGGAGTCTCTGGGATCGTACCATAACCCCAATGAGGGTCCCTTTTAGGGTACTTATAAGTCTTACTAACTACTTACTAAGTCCCCCGACCCCCCAAGCACCATGCAGTCCTCAACCCGAGGCCTCAGGCTCCGGCAGCCTAGCCTGAAGCCTTTCGCGCGAACGGTTCACCACCCTGAGCTTTGCCCTTTAAAGGGATCTATAGGAAGTCTATAAGGGCATAGGGTTTAGGGTTCATGGGTAGTTATAAGTGGGGTTATAAGTAGGGTAACCATAACTATAATCCATAGTCGGGGACTTATAGCTCCATTTAAAACCACCCATGAATGAACCTGCAAGTAGACCCTGAACCCCAATCCCTTATCCCAAACCGCCTCTGTTTTCCCGAGCTGCTGCATCGAGCTCCTTCACAGGAATGTTCCAGCAAGGACCCGGCTTTGAGGATGGGTTGCCCATAAGAAGGGCTATAAGTAAGGTTACTAATATAATAATTGCCTATACTAGTTTGGGGGTTCCTTGTTATAACTATACTATGAGATGCCCCAAAACCCTATTCTAATTATTACGGCCCCTATAGTGTAGTACAGTGATGAATCCGTAAGGTGCCTTTATCACCATACCCATCCTCGAAGCCTTGAGTATGCGATAGGTAGCCTAACACTTCGGAGCATCGACCTGGGCCCGCCACAACGCAGAGGCTCAAGCACTCCTCAAGCCTAAACCTTAAGCTGGTACTGGGTAGGCCCTTACGGTACGTCCCTGTGGGAGGTCTTAGCGAACCCCAATCCTTTCGACTGGAAGTTCAACCGACAGAGCACTCCAAAGGGCGGCAAAGAGGTCAAGTGCCCTCGACGGAATGCGGACAGCCACTACACGGGCAGCATCGAGAAGAAGTAAAGTTCAGGTTCAGTACCGGTGCGATCAGTGGGCCCGAACTCACTCACGGTACAGTGAAGAGAACCCCAAACCCCCAAAACCCTCTAAATACCCCTGCGCAACCTGCCCGGGAGCCTTAGAACCCTACCCTATAAGTCCAAGACGCGCGAGCCCGATAAACCCCAAACACCTTAAATGCCGAACCCTTAACCCCCCTCAAAAAATTCGAGAACCCAGAAGCCACTCAAGCCCTCTCAAGCCAAGAAACCCTGAAACCCTACGAACCCGTTTCGGCCTTACGCCCCAAACCAACCCGAAAATTGGCCCTAAACCCCAAGACCCTGAACATAAAACCCTGAACCTTGAAACCCTAAGTCACAAAAAACCCTCTTAAAGCCAACCTGGACCTAACGTCGATTTTCCGAGCCATGGCGTCATCTGCGACGGGGCAGCTGGCTATTCGTCTCAGGAGGCATCCAGGGTTCCGTCAAGATTCCTCCTCAATGTTTGACTAGGTAGGGCTTTGGGACATTTTATATTTTCTCTTATTGGGCTTAAGAGGATCTTACCTACTAATATTTTTCAAAGGCTTTAAAAGCACCTCCTAGTTGAGGTTTTGGGCTTCAGATTTAGGGTTTACGGTTGTGACAAGGGTTTAGGGTGCAGTGAAGCCTTAAAGCGTCTTGAAGCCTAAGCCGACAACCCTACAGCCTACAGCCCCCCCCAAAAATCCCTAAAGCCCTAAACCATCCTAAACCTAAACTCTAAACCCTAAACCCTAAAACCCCTAAACCCTCAACCCTAAACCCTAAAGCCCTAAACCCTAAACCCTAAACCATCCTAAACCTGCAGCCCGAAACCCCCCCACAACAGTAAAACTCTGAAGCCCATGACCTTCAACAATCCTAAAACCCCCGCATGCCCGAAGATACTAAACTGAAGCCTTCACGTCCTAAAGCCCTAAGCTCACCTAAGCCTAGCACCAGAAAGCCCTAAAGCCCTTAAACCATCCTAAACCTAAACTCTAAACCCTAAACCCCTAAACCCTAAACCCCTAAACCCCTAAACCCCTAAACCCTAAACCCCTAAACCCCTAAACCCCTAAACCCCTAAACCCCTAAACCCCTAAACCCCTAAACCCCTAAACCCCTAAACCCCTAAACCCTAAAGCCCGGAGGCCCTGAACCCTAAACCCTGAACCCCCAAAGCTAAAGTGCGGAGGTTCCACGAGGAGGCCTGCGCCGATGGGGAGCTTACGGCGGTGGTCGAGGCGTCGTTACTCTCCTTTTTCTCCAGGGTTTAGGGTTTAGGGATTAGCGTTTAGGGGTTAGGGGGCTTAATGCTTTTGGAGTTAGCTGTTGTTTGTGTTTTTAATGAGATTTCTGGTATTCTCCTTTGTGTTATGGCACCAGCAACGAGGGTTTTGTGGGTTTTGGGAGGGTGCTATAGGATTTGACAAGGGCTTGTTGACTTTGGGTTAGGTTTTTCTCAGTTAGTGCTGCTATGATGCCACAGCGGTTCTCAACGGTTAACCCACTCTAGATCCTGAGCCCCAAGCCCCAAACCCATAAACAGCCCAAGTCCGACAACCCCAAGCCTGCGCTCTAAAGCCTTCAACCCTGAATACCGAAACCCCAAAACAAGCCCTAAGCTTCGAAAACCCGAACCTAGAAAACCCTCCTGAAGCCCCAAGCCCCAAAGGCACAAACCCTGAAAAGCCTGAAACGCTAAACCTGGACGCGGCCACAGTTGACCTACCAAATTAAGCCTTTATGCCGCCACCCAAGCCACATTCTCAGCTTCAATTTGTTACTCGTTGGTGGGTGGGAAGGTGAGGGGAGGGATGATAGCAAAATGCTTATGCACTTCTTGTACCTTATCTAAGTCCATGCTGTTTGTTTTGCAGTCATGTGTTTTCATGTGCTTGTTGTCTGGGAGTACGGGCTGCTGGCAAGCAAGTTTACGTCCTTTTGTCCCAAGTCCTGGCAGACGATGCGGACGCCACCTAGACAGCGTCGACTCAGTGCAGCAATTGCTTTCGTGTCTGTTGTCTACGTGACTACGTGACAACGTTTGGCAAGAAAGTAGGCGCTGAATCCTTCATTAGAAGATGCCTTGCAACTGCCTGACAGTGCCACAGTCGACAACATGTGGAAAATAATGCAAGACGTCATACATAGCATCCACACTGCGAGTTTCGGCCCTTGCCGGCGAGATTAAAGTCGACCCCGCCTTGGTAGAGTATTCGTATCGGTTCTCTTTGCGACGGCATCATGAAGGCAATTTCCAGTTTTTGAAGCAGAAAGTCGGAGCTTCCTAGAAAATCAAGGCTGAGAAAAGGCCCACCCTAAGTTTACAGGTCAGTGAATGCTGGCATGCACACCGAAATCGGTAGGGCAGCAATGGCCGCGCCAGGTCCTAAACCCTAACCTAAGCCCCCCTAAGCCCTAAATCCTCAAACGTAAAGCCCTGAAACCCTAAGCCTGTAAGCCTAAAGCCCTAAGCCCCAGCGACCCTAAGCACTTTAAACCCTCGCCCTAAAAAGCCCCAAGCCTTGAAGCTCTAAACGCCCTAAAGCTAGGGACCCCAAAAAGCACATAAGCATACGCATTTTATAGGGTTCTCCCTACCTTATTGGGCTTCATTATGAGGGGATTTATATGGGATATCCCTGTCCTAATTTTTGCTTATGTGCTTTTTGGGGGCCCTATCCCTAAACCCTAAACCCTAAACCCTATTAAAGCCCGAAGACCTGTTGGGCCCCCGTCGAGGAACTCAATCGGACGCAGGGTCAGAAGGAGGGCGGCAGGCCCACCGAGTCCTCGGGGTATTTTAGGAGCCCAAAGAAGCAGAGTAGGGTTCTATTCTAATCATTAAGGTCCCTAATGCTTATTTTAGTTATTTGAATTATAGTATAATGGGCCCCAAAACCTAAACTAAAAAATGTTCAAGTATAAGAGTTCTGCGACTTGGGGCCTGAATAGTTAGAGCAGGGTCTCGCCGTATATTCTCCTATAGACATATCTTGGGAGGGACAAGAAGGGCGCCCAACTAAATGTTTGGGGGCTTCTGGAAATTAGGCGTGCCCGTTGATGGATTTCTACATGTTGGGATCTTATTCTTTGTGCTTTTGGGATCTACATAAGATTGGGGTGCCCAGTGTAGGGATCTTTGTAGTGCGGATATTGCTCTGTGAGGTCCACATGAGAGCCCCTTGTTTTCTGAGACTCCCGTTCTTGTGCGGACCCCAACACAACACATGGCCTACGAGTGAGGTTTGGGACTTCCTAAAGCCCAAATACCCTTCTTGCGGATGGGAAACTGGCCGCTTCACAAAAAACCCTAAACACCCAACCAGGGGAGGAAAAGAGGCATTTAACAACACACCCTCAACCCGAGAGTCTATATCCTAAGCTTGGGAAGTCGGTTTGGATCCTCAAGCTGTTTAGCTTTATGCTGCCATTTGCTTTACCCAGAGGCCCCATAGTAGTTCCTTCTTGGGATTACCTTATAGGATTCTAACTATGAACCACAATAAGAAACTACTATGGGGCCTCTGGGTAGAGGGGGTTTTGGGGGTTTGCTGGCCGCATTGGCGGCCGAGTTCCTGCAGTCTTTATTCATTTGGGTGGTTGTCCAAATACAGGTTCCTTTTTGGGTACCCTAAATAGTAGGTGCCGTATTATAATAGGAACCCAAAAAGGGACCATAATTTTGACAACCACCCATTTGAGGGTGTAGAGTTTAGAGTTTGGGGTTGGAGCTTCGGGCTCGTAAAGGTTATTCTTTTGGGAGTCAGCTCCACGTCTCTTTCCTGTTCACCGCGTAGGCCTCTTAGAGCAAGGGACGTAGGTCTGAGGCGCTAGCTTCATGCGTAGCACCCATGTCCCGAAGCCCCAATCGCAATACAACTAAACCCTGATCTCTAAGCCCTACTATAGGGGCCTACATAATTACCAACACAATTTCGGGGGCTCCTTGTTATAATTTTGGTCAGTATACCCCGAAACCCCATCTAAGTATTAAGGCCCCTGCATTCCCTCCCGCAGCAAAGAGAAGGAATGGGTCAGTCAGCGTCCCAGAACTCGGTGTCCAGAGATCTGGCTTATGCTTCGTGATCTTTGTGTTGCAGTTACTGGGGGGGTCGGGGGACTTAGTAAGTAGTTAGTAAGTAGACTTATTAGTACCCTAAAAGGGACCCTAATTGGGGTTATGTACTTATAAGTCCCTAAAATAACCAGTTACTAAGTCCCCCGACCCTCCAAGTACCCAAACCCTATGGTAACCCTTGTAGCATCCCTTTGCTGCAACCTGTATAGAAACCTCACAGCCTTATAGTAGCCGGCCCTTGTAGCCACGCTTAGGCTAAGGCTGTCGGCCGGTATAATTCCGCCTCCGCCCAACCCTGCCTTTCTCTTCCGCATATCGCAGGATCTTTGCGTGCTGGGCGCATTCAGGCCAGGTTTCTGGAGGGGAGAGGTCCTCAGATGTTGGGGAGCGAGGTATAGTTACGGGTTGACAGCGGGTGCATGACGATACGTGCGCTGCGTTTGGGGTTTTCTGATTGTGGGTTGATGCTTGGGGTCAGCAGCGCCAAGCATGCGTCACCCCTTCAACCCCGCACAGTCGCCTAGCCTGTATTATTTGAAGCCCTCAGACGTGCTGCACGCCTTAGTAATTAGAATAATTATACTATAAGTCTTTCAATGAACCTACATTAAGGTTTATAGGTTCCGGTACAGACTTTACAAAGGCTTTCCTTGGGGCCGGAGCAGTTCTTGGCCACTGAAGTTCGGGTGAAAGCTAGCATCCCCTGGCAAGACCCAGAAAAGAGCCCACAAAGAGCCGGTAGATAACCCCTACTTAGGCCCAAGACCAGAAAAGCTGACAGAGAAGTTGCAGCTCCCAATCCCTGAACCCCTGGAAGTCTTGTTGCAAGGAAGCGAAAAGACCGTGGTCTTCCTGGAATTGTTCTCGGACGCTAGCGATGCTTCCTTCAACGACGACGTGGCTCGAATGAAACGCTAAAACCCAAGCCCTAAGCAGGACCTGGTTTTCGACCGGCACTGTTGAACCTTTAAGTTTACATCAGTTCTGTACGGTTTTTTTGGGTTCCAGGGCCGTTTCTTTTTTTGAGTGGGCTAAAACGACTACTGTTCAGCCGGCAGCTTGAAATTTGGACGGTGTAGGGGTCCGCAAAAGGCTACTACCATATACTACCATAGCCTACACTATGCCATCATATGCCAAAATATACGACAAATCTACTATACCGACTATACCCATGATACACTTGATGATATAAATTAAGGGGTATGAGAATCCCCTAAACCCTAAACCCTATAGATCCCCCATAGATCCCTTGTAACGAACCCTAGGTATTCCTTAATTCAAGGGTAGTGGAATCTCTGGGTTCCCCGAGGTCAGTCTTGGCCACTTCTTCACCCACCCCGCCTCGGAGGACTCCCGGGCTTGAAAACAAGGGAGTGCTTGGGGGGTCGGGGGACTTAGTAAGTAGGTAGTAAGTAGACTTCTAAGTACCCTAAAAGGGACCCTAATTGGGGTTTTGGTACTTATAAGTCCCTAAAATAACCAGTTACTAAGTCCCCCGACCCTCCAAGTAGAAGGAACCCTTTAAAAGGAACCTTTTAACGGGTGTAGGGTTGCAAGGAAATAAGGCACGGTTTACTTGACAGGCAAGGGGGGGATACCATGGGGTAGGGGGGAGGGCATGTGCATGTACATGTATACAACGGTATAGGTGTAGGTACAGCGATAGCTATGGCTATAGGCTATAGGTACAGGGTAGGTGTAGAGGTAGGTATAGGTGCATGTGCATGCATGTATGCATGTATGTAGGAAGGGGATAGGCATGTACCTATACATGTGCTTGCGTGTTTACTCATGCTGAGAAGACCGATATTTCGAGTCCAAGGCTTGACCAAGTACATAAGATGCCGTAGGTCGGATTTTCGAAAGTGTGTTTCACGATCTGGGACTTGCCGTACATGGGTTGGAGTTGAGGTGTGATATCGGAGCTTTCGCTTTCGGAGGTCATGATGTGATCTCGCTCGCCCCTGTTTCCATCGGAAGTCGGTGTGACATTTGGCGGTTTCGAAAGGCCGGTTCGGGCTTGGCGGAGGGAGTTGCCCTTCTGACTCGCAGCACCTGAAGTGACCACCAGGCTCCTGTTACTATCGTGGCACATAGCTGATCAAACCTTGGGATTTCAGGCCTTCTGCCACGGCACCCCGGGCCTGAGCCTTGAAACAGCTTCAACCTCAAAGCCGGAAGAAGCTGCGACTCCGTTGCGCAGGAGATTCTTGTTCCTCCGAGCCTCCGTTCACTGCAGCAGCCTGCATCATCGCTCTTCCTCTCTGGGGAGGACAACCGTGGATTTTTGAGTTTGGAGCTCGAGGGCTTGAGGGTGTAGAGCAGGTCTAAATCCCTTTAAAGGAACCCTCGTAGATCCCTTTCAAGGAACCCCTAGAGATCCCTTAAGAGGAACCCCTGTAGATCAACCGACTTTTCGGAACATCGACGTAACCCTAAACCCTAAACCCTAAACCCTAAACCCTAAACCCTAAATTGGGCTATTCGAGGGTCAAGTCTTGTCAGAGGCTTCGATCCAAGGCCCAGGGCTCACGGCCGAAGGTCGGGGGACTTAGTAACTCTAAGGGGTTCCTTTAGGGTTCCTTTAAAGGGATCTATGGGGATTCTATAAGGGTTTAGGGTTTAGGGTTTAGGGGACTTAGTAACTGGTTATTTTAGGGACTTATAAGTACCACAACCCCAATTAGGGTCCCTTTTAGGGTACTTAGAAGTCTACTTACTGTCTACTTACTAAGTCCCCCGACCCCCCAAGTACCCCCCTTTTGAATTTCCCTGTTATGGTTTCCATGTGTGTAGATGTGTGTATATATATATATATACACATATGTTGATCAATCTATGTAGTAGTCCTCAGCCCTGAACCCGAAGCCGGGTTAAGACTTCCAAACACCCTTTGATGCTAAGGGATCCCCCTTTCTCCCGGATTTCCGCAGAAGCTGAGTACGCTCAACAATCAGAATAGGTTTAGTAGGGGGGTTTAGGGCTGTGGGGTTAGTGCTTAGGGTTTTGGGTTTGGGTTTTGGGGATAGTGTGTAGGGTTTCGGGTTTAGGGTGTAGGGGTTAGTGTTTAGGGTTTTGGGTTTAGGGTTTAGGGCTGAGGGTTCGGGTTTTTGGTGGTGTATTTTATTATCGTTACATGCAAGAAAATCCCGAAAATTGATGTTGGTACTTGTTCAGGCCCCGGCCCCAGCCTGCACATTTTCACGTAGCTCAACCATAAACTTCAAGGTTCACTTTTTTTGGGTTGATCACCCTGCCCTATTCAAAAGGCTATCTTTCCTTGGGCCAGGGACCTCGGCAACTCGGTCAAATGCACAAGGTTTGGGGGTTTGGGCTTTCAGGAAGTACTTCTCCCAAAAGTCCGAAACGCGGTCTAGCGGCATCAGAGGGGAAGGAGACTTAGAGACCTTGCAAAACAAACGATCCTTGCAGACACATGCTGCAATGCCGCAGATCCTGAATCTTGAGAAAGAAGCAAGCACCAGGCCCCCTTAAATCACAAATCTCCCTAAACCACAAACCAGCTTTTGCCATGCATGAAGCTCGGAAGCTCGGCGTCAGGGTGTCAGCTATCAGTCGCCCCACCTCGAAATCGAGGATTGGTCGCGGGTGCGGGCCTTGGCGTTTCTCTATCCCTAAGGCTCCATGTGCCCATATAGTAGATACTTAGGCCTTAAAGGACCTATATAGGGACTACTTTGGGGCTTAAGTATCTACTATAAGGGTACATGGAGCCTTTGGGTATCTGGTCCTTCTCTTCCGCGTTCCTGGACCCTTATCAGACTGGCTCAGGCTTTGGGTCTCAGGTAGCCGTCTTCTGCTTCTGACCTCATTTCTACCGATCCTTGGAGACCCATGTGGGGTAACTTGCAGTATGCGTAGTCGTTTCGCGAGCCTGGTACGGTGGGGGCTGTGAGAGTGCCGTGGGTACCATCTGAAAGGCCTGCGTTGAGGACGTGCGCAAGGGCTTAGGAATTTGGTCTAAGGTTGCTGTGCGGTTTCGGGCTATGGGTTCGTTTGCGTGTTTCGGTGATGGGACTTCGCGGTTCCCATCGATGTCCCGCCGGGTCGTAGGTCGTAGGGTCCCGGTATAGAGGGGCTGTCGGGTTTATTGCCTGTACGGCTCAATGCCCGTTTGGGAACTGGAGTTCGGCTGTTCTTGCTTGTGGTTTAGGAAGCCGCGATACAGCAATTGAAAGGAATGTTGCATTTTCTTCGCTTTTGGGGTGATGCGGCCTTGATCCGTGGGAAAGGGCGTTTCTGTGTATGGTCTTGTTTGTCAAGGATCTAGCTTCTCATGCCCTCTAAACCCTCCTAAGGGAGTACTTGGAGGTTCATGGGTAATTACAAGTGGCGTTATAAGCAGTTATAAGTCCCCTTTAGGGTTACCCTACATAACCCCACTTATAACTATGCGATGCTTGCACTCTAAACTGGGGCTGTCGGTGCTAAACCCTACAGATCTAAAGAAGAGGTCCTAAGCATAGATCCGGAAGAGGAACACATACGAGAAAGGCTTCTAAACGAGGCAACCCTGGTATCAAGAAACGAGAAACTCCCAAAAAACAAGACTGAACGGCAAAACCCAAGACCTCAAAATCCAAAAGCCTCAGCGGATAACCCAAAGGTGCTGTATGTGGTTGCCACCAGCCGCGTTCACGACGGATGCCTCGCGCCGCTGACACCCGGCGCCGGATGTGGCAGAGTAGAGGGCTCGGGGATGTAGAGTTTAGGGTTTGGAGCTGGTAGGGTTTCCGGTGTGGTGGGAGAGGTTGAGCAGGAGTGTTGATAAGAGCTCTAAGGATCTTGTAGGAATTCAAGTTTAGAGCTTACATTCTGTTTCCAGAGTCGAATAAGATGACGAGCTTTATAGCAGAGAGCTTTAAAACTAGTTGTAATACAGCAATACCCCCGTCTAGTTCTTATATAATCAGATCAGAACATGCCCAGATTTCGGCTGCTCCTCCAAGGATGCAGCTGGAAGAGCAGTACTACAAGAAGTTGGAGGAGGAGGAGTGGTTGGCCGAGATGGTAAGTCCTAAACCCTAAACTATAGTCTCCTTAGGAATAGTTTTTATTTTTGTTCATATAAAAGCCCTCGAGAATATTAAAGCTATTATTTTGTTTTATGGTTTTAAGGGGATATAGTAAAGCCGCAGAGCCCCAAAACCAGCTCCTAAACAACACGCCTTGAGCCTCGGCAGGAGCTACAAAATACGGGGACTCCTTGTTTGGAATAAGGTTTAGGGTTTGGGGTTTGGAGTTTGCGGCCTTTTGCCGCAGTTTGGGGCGCTGGAAAGTTTTGGTTTGCATCTCTAAGCCCTAAAAGGTTTATGGAGTTGGTGTTCCCTAGCCCAAGCCCTAAAGCTCCAAAAGGATTTAGTATTTAGTGTTCCCCAGCCTGAAGGGGTTTAGGATTTGGTGTTCAGGATGCCTTACTTGGAGGTTCAATGGTAGTTATAAGAGGGGGTTTTCTGTAGGGGAACTACATTTATGACCCATATTAGGGGACTTATAACCCTACTTATATCTTCCGATGAACCCTAAACCCTATACCCTTATAGAATCCCTATAAATTCCTTTAAAGGACCCCCAAAACCCCTATCTTATAACTACCCATGAACCTCCAAGTGCATCTTAGACCCACTCAGGCTGGCGGCAACCTTGTAAAGCAGACAGAGACCCCACCCCCCGCCAGTCCGAATTGGAATGCTAAGGACATTAGGGACGCAAAAAGGACCAAAGCATAAGCATTTTTTTGTTCGGGATATCCCTACTGTATTGGGCTTCAGTATAAGGGGGTTTATATGGGGGATATCCCTATCCATATCTTTGCTTCTGTGCTTGTGTGGTGGGGCCTATAGGATCTGAGCAGCTTCGTGCAGAGGCTTCTTGAAACCGGTCGGGCGCAGGGCAGAATACTAGGGTGCACTGCTGTCTGACACTTCCTGATGTAAGAGCTTCCAGAACTAGAGGAGGGCTTGATATGTACGAATGCAATGGGTCCCCTAAACCCTAAACCCATAGGTCTATATGTGCCAGCATCCGCGCACCCCCCCCCCCCTCCCCCCCCCATGGTAATCCCCCTCCCCCCCCCTGTGGTTCCTGTGGTTCCCCCCCCCCCCTGTGGTTCCTCTTGGTTTTCCCCCTCCCTTTTGTGGTTCTTCTGGTTCCTGTCTCCCCCCTCCCCCCCTGTGGTTCCTGTGGTTCCTCCGCGTGGTTGCTGCTGCTTTGTTGTTGCTGCTGTTCTTCTTCTTGTTCTTGTTCTTGTTCTTGTTGTGTGGTCGCCCGGGTCGGGGGGGGGGGGATACCATTGGGGGGGGGGGGGGGGGGGGTCGAGAACGCGGAGCGCGGGCACATATATAGGATATATCGAGCTTGTGGATGAAATTCCGATGCGCTTGACCCTCGGAGCCCACCCCGCCCAAGCTTCGAGGAGACCCGCAAAAACGTCTTCTACCGCTGGCACCTCTCGTCAGACCTGCAGATCCAAAAGGTGGGTAAGTTAGTATAGGGGCCTTAATAATCAGAGTAGGGTTTGGGGGTATACTATCCTATAATCGTGCTGGGTAATTTAGACGCTTGAGAAGCTACCATCACCTTTTTCCTTATTCTTAGGCTCCTACACTTCTGCTTATATAGGTTCTTCTTACAATTGCAGCAATGATCGTTTAGCCTTAAACCCTAAACCCTAAACCCTATAGGCCCCAAGTCCCTAAGCCCTGTACCCCAAAGTCCAAAAAGCTTATTCTACTTATTCAGCCCGGTATACCGTTCAGAGCCCGGGTTCCTTCAAGGGATCCTTAGAGGGATCTATAAGGGATCCGTGATAAGGGACTTAAGGACCAGACCTTAAAGCATAGTAGGGATCCCACAATAATCTAAGGTATATTCCTCAATTCAAAAAATATTGGAGTCGCTGGGTTCATGACCTAGTGGCAGCAGTTCCGCGGGAAGGCTTGCCGGGGTCATGCAACGCAACCACACCAGACGTAGGGTTTAGGGTTTAGGATTCTTGGCTTAGGGTTTAGCGCTTGGGGTTTAGGGTTTAGGGTTCAGGGTTTAGGGCTTAGGGTTTAGGGCTTGGGGTTTAGGGCTTAGGGTTCAGGGTTTAGGGCTTAGGGTTTAGGGCTTGGGGTTTAGGGTTTAGGGTTTAGGGTTCAGGGTTTCGGATGGAGGATTCGGCAATCGGAGTGTGGAACTGGAGGTTGAGGTTCCTAAAACACCCAAAAATCCATAATCCAGACTTCCTGGCGCACAGCCTTAAAACCCAAAGCCCTTTCTGAAAACAGGCACCCCAATATAGTACCCTAAATAGTAGGATCCTTATTACACGGACCCAAACCCTAAACGCGAAGTCCCAACCCTTCCAGCCCTCAAAGCTGAAACGCAAACTCTTCAAGTAATTCCCCACGTCGCCAAGCAGCTCCAAGAGGCCTTAACTGTTAGGACTGGATTCTGGGTATATGATCGTATAAATGGGGTATAAGTATATCAGTGAACCGCAAGGAATGGAAAATTGCTAATCATTCAGCCCCCTACATGATTGACTTACGCTTGAATCCTACTACAAGTATGCAGGTGGCCGAGCTCTACAGAGACTTCGAAGGTGCATTTCCCATTTTTTGGGGTTTCAGGGTGGCTTCATGGGCTTCCTTTTGGCTGACGACAGTCTTCTCCAAGATTCTTTAGGGTACCTGGGGGTGCAATGGGGTGCATAGGATCTTGGCTTTTGAGCTGCAGGGCTTTCCCGGGAGTTGGATCCTACATTCGGGGTTGCGGTTTAGGCGATTTTACAGAATTACTTCTCTAGGACCACTGCTGCTTCCACTGTTACTGCTGCTCTACTGCTACTGTAGCTAGCAAGCTAGCTAGCTAGCTAGCAAACTGCTAGCAAACTGCCTAACTACTGAACTACTGCTATATTCCCACTGCGGCTACTACTGCAAACGGCGCGACTGCTACTGCCGCTACTGCTATTGCGATAGCGACAACAACAATTGCTACTATTGCGCCTGCTGTTGCTGCTACTACGACGACGACTACAACGACGACTGCTACTGCTACTGCTACTGCTACTGCTCCTGCTCCTACTGCTTCTGCTGCTGCTACTGCTACTGCTACTGCTACTGTACTACTAATGCTACTACTGTTACTACTACTGCTGCTGCTACTAGTACTACTACTTCTAGTACTGGTACCACTACTAGTACTAATTGCGACTACTTCTGCTATCCCTACGACTACCACCGCCACGCTACACCACGCTACACCACGCTGCACCAGGCTGCACTTGGCTGTGCTAGACTGAGCTATGCCGCACCCCCCATACCCCCCCCCCATGCAATGCAGCGCACTGCCTGAAGGCTTCGCTACGCACATGAGAGTTTGCCACGACCTTTTCGTCGCGGCAGAACCCTTCCGGACGTGCCTCTCCGTGGCTGCGCGCACAGCATCTGGATTTGTTCGGGGTGAATTGCCCTTCAGAGGGTCCTGCCTTCTGACCATTGAGTCACCCAATCTTCGACTTCTCGGGTGGGTCGCAGATTGCAGACCTTATCTGCAGGGGCTCATTGTCGATAGTCTCAGTGAGGTGTGTACTTTAGGCTTCAAGCAGTGCGGAGAATTTTCTGATTTCTGACAAGTCGCAGCAGCAGCATAAATTCGCACATGCAGGCGAATTTGCCAGAGGTATCTGTCCCAAACTACGTGAAGACGCCCCTAATAACACCACTTACAGTAACCCTCAGAGTCGCCCATATAGCAGCCCATAGCAGTAGATGCAGATAGACACAAACACGCAACGCGATCCATCTGCACAGTGGCTATGTGTCACGACAATCAGAGGAGTCAAAGGACAGAGAAGCCATAGTGCGCTTAGTATTCTCGACGCCAGTAGTCACGGCGTGCTAAAATGAGGGTCACAACAAATAAGGCAACCAGTGTCGTCGTGATGCATCGCCATGGTGATCATTGTTGTCCGAACGGTCTCAGCTGACGAAGGAAGAGTGTGAAAGTAGCACTCTTCGGAGTCCTGATAAGCATGTTGGGCGTAGAGACAATCTAGACCCCGAACACTTGTCCTGCCAATCAACAGGTTTGTAATAGTGCGCAGCCACTGTAGCCAAGACCGTGCAAGGAAATCTTCGGCGACAGTGAGACGCTGAGAAAAATGGAAAGATGGGGTTTGCCCATCCGCAAGTTCTGTACTCGTACTCTTCACCCGTAGTCGTGGACGGCTCCCTTTCCTTGGAGCCCTCCAGCATTCAGCATTCAGTTTAACGATCACAAATCTGGGCCCATTATTTTCACGTTTTCAGCATGCATCTTGGCTGTCTCATAATTCAGCAAGAACCCCTAAACCCTAAACCCTGAACCCTGAAAGCCCTAAACTGACTTCGAGATTTCTGCAACAATGGGCCCAGCTATCTGGGAGTTTCCGAGAATAGAGGACCCTGATATAGTACCCTAAATAGTAGGATCCTTATTATAAGGGCCCCAAGCTAAGGTACCCCTAATTTTCGGAAACTCCCATTTGCGAAGGCGAGGACTCGGCTCCGTCATGTCGATCCTGGCGATTGATAAGTTGTGGGGGCCAAAAAAGCACATAAGCATAAGCATTTTAAAGGGACATCCCCACCTTAATAGGCTTCATTATAGGGGGGTTTATATGGGATATCACTATCCTAATTTTTGCTTCTGTGCTTTTTTGGGGCCCTAAGTTCGGGGCTCCTTCCCAGACTCCCGGGAGGATCCAAAAAAGTCGATCCCTTAATGGGGGTTCCTATAAAGTGCCCTTGGTAGTATAGGGCCCCATATTAGGGGATCTACTTTTCTAGATCCTCCCGGGGGTCTGGGTTTAGAGTGGTCTTCAGCGAATGAAGGATCCTACTACTTATTGGGTTCTAGAAGAGGCCTGAGTCCCAAACCATAGACCCGAAATCTGAATCTGCAAAGTTTCTGTCTTCTGCCGCCACCTGTGTCCACGGTCAAAATTGCAGAGCAGGTCGCTTGAATTATGGCAGTGCAACCTAAATTCCGGCCAAAAACCGAGTAGTAGAGTAGGTACCCTTTAACCTTTTTGGGGTGCTATAATATGCCTATCTAATCCCAAAGGTTAGCATTCAGTGCCCTTGGGTACTGGACATGTAGGAAAGTACAGAGCCCGCCAAGTTTGCAAATCGTCGAGCGCGGGAAATGCGATCTGAAGAAGCGCTGTTCGCAAAGAGCACCGAGGTCCGAAAGTTACCGGCAAGCAGGGCGAGAGTTGCAAAGAAGTCGGAATACTTACCAATATGGTTCCTTAGGATTCCGAGGTTATAAGTATACTATAGTGCATCCCCCGAGACCCTATTCCAATTAGAAAGGCCCCTATGTAGTCGCCAAGCCACAGGAGGAGATACAGGAAGGGAGTACAGAAACAGCTGCCAGTAGGTTTTCCATAGGTTACCTGTAGGTTTTGTGAGTCTAAGGTTGAAGCCATGGGCCCCTACTATGGGCCCTTTATTCCTACTGCATGCCCTAGTTGTACCGTTTAGGGTCCCTTAAAAGGGCTAGGGGGCCGACAGTAGGGGCCCATACGTCGAACCTTAGATTAGAGTGAGGTCTTTAGAAGGGCAGCAGTGTCAAGATGACAGGAGCGCAGGGCCCTCAGCCGACCGCCCAAAAAATTCCCACGCGTAAGGACGCGCCTGGCCCTAAACCCCCAAACCCCAAACCCTCATCTCGCAGCGAAGAAGCCCGGAAAGCCGGAAGCAGTCTCGAGACGCTTAGCAAAAGAGGCGCACGCTGCCGCACTTGCATCCGCTCGTGTCCTGCCAGCGTTGCGTTTCCGAATGTAGGTTTATCATTCGTCTCATCGTTGTCCTTGTGGTTGCTCTTGTGGTGGTTATCATTGTGCTGCTATTTCTACAAATTACAACAACTACAACAACAACTACTACTACTACCACCACTACCACTACCACTACCACTACTACTACTACTACTACTACTACTACTACTACTACTACTACTACTCCTGCTGCTGCTGCTCCTACTACTACTACTACTACTACTACTACTACTACTACTACTACTACTACTACTACTACTACTACTACCAGTACCACTACTACTACCAGTACCACTACTACTACTACTACTACTACTACTACTACTACTACTACTACTACTACTACTACTACTACCTACTACTACTACTACTACTACTACTACTACTACTACTACTACTACTACTACTACTACTACTACTACTACTACTACTACTACTACTACTACTACTACTACTACTACTACTACTACCACTACTACTACCACTACTACTACTACTACTACTACTACTACTACTACTACTACTACTACTACTACTACTACTACTACTACTACTACTACTACTACTACTACTACTACTACTACTACTACTACTACTACTACTACAAAGTCTTGCTACTGGTGATAGTGCTAGCACTGCTTGCCCAATTGCAGTCCTAGTCATGGCTGGCCAGGCAGGCTGCTCTCTGAACTTTCAGAGTTTAGGCTTCAGGGTTTGGGGTTTAGGGTTCATCCAAGGGCAAAAGGAGGGACCCTTAATAAGGACCTTAGGTATATACACTTAATATATCTATTATATACCCATTATATAGCCCATTATAGGGTAGGGGTCCCCATTAAGGGTCCCTCCTTTTCCCCTTTGAGGTTCAGGGGCAGAGGTCGAAACTCTTCTTGAAGCCGTTCGCCCTTCGGCACCCCGCAGTAGTTTTCGTTCCTGTGTCACATCTCCAAAAGCCCCTGAGATAACCCCCAAAACCGTTCCAACTCTAGCAGGCCACTATACTGTGCCTTAACAGCGTTTGTAGAATCCTGACTAGAATCTCCAAAAGCCTCTAGAACCCTTTTCTACTCAGTAAGACCCCTAAAATGTAGAAAGGTAGCTCTCTGTACAAACCGTTAGAACAGGGATGCGCAGGGTTACGGTTGCTGATATCCGGGCATGTGGGTCACTGCACATTTTTGTGTTTGTCCTTTGGTATTGCCAACAAGGTCGCTTCACCTTTGGTGAGACTGATTGATAGCCATGACATTGAAGCCTGCGCTTTGCACTTTGTGGCCACCAGTGACCACATACCTAGATAACCCTAAACCGTTAACGCTAAACCCTGAAACCCTAAACCGAAGAGTTTGGAGACTGCTGCAAGTTCCCTATCTTTCCGATACGCCTGTACTTCAGGGCAGGCTCTACACCCTCATCGGGCTTTGGCTCATCAATCTTGCCAGATGTGGTCTCAACTTGAATCCCCGTGGATGTGTCGGCTCCAGATGGTAGCACTTTGGGCATGGGGTTGTCACTCATGTCAGACTTGCAACACGGGCTTAAGATTTGTGCAAGAATATCTTGTTCTTCTGCCATTTTCAGAAGCCATGTTGGAAGCGAGCGGCTTTGCGTGCATGTGCTTTCGGGTAGGGTTTCTGGTTGCAGGCGACTCAGTCTTGCCTTTCAAGCCAGTGGGTAATGTATCTCGATCCCAGCAAGCCTACTATGAGGGGTACCATAACCAGGTGTGTTACACAGGGTTCAGGATGTTCGGACTTTTTTGGCAAGCTTGCCAAGACGCCTAAGACGAGTCTGAAGCCCTCGACAACCTCAATGCTCAAGGGCCAGCCCTAACCACAAGAGAAGCCCCGATGTGTCGTTGAGCGTTTTAGGGTTTCGCCAGGAGCTCCCCCGATATCATAGAACCCCACGCGTGACTGACTGAATCCTGGAATTCACATGGGATTTGGCAGTGCAAAGGTCTTGATACAGGGGTCGGAAAAATCCCATTATACCCTTTTCTTCCATATTGTCGCTGTGGTATAATATACCCAACACTATTCCCCAAATTACGGGGGTTGGGCAGCATGAAGCTACTTCTGCTAGGACAGCGGTGCTTTCCGGCCACCTGCATCTTCGGGTTCAGAGCACTAACGCTTAAACAATCCACGGGTTTAGGTCTAGCCGTTTAGCCTTCAGGGTTTAGGATTTCGGTCCCACTTCGTTGAATCTGGCTCGCCCAGGTGAAAGTGTCAGCACCTTCAAGAACTTTCAACGCCGCTCGTGCTGGCAGAGAGGATTCACAGCGCTGTTCGGGCTTCGGATTCTACAAGGGTGTACAGATGTTTACGGAACCCTGAACCCCAAGTCCAGCTCCTTCCTAGAGTAAGACCCCAATCCTTGAACTGCAACGCATCCAAGCACCGCAGACAATCGTGCCCAACCCCAGCAATCAGAAGGCTGGCCACTCGTATAGGAAGGATCGTAGCAGAGACCGCTAATTCGGAGAACTACCCTCGCAAGCTCAATACGCTCCGCACGAAGCCACTTTAAAGGTTCATGGTGGTGACAAGTTGAACTCGGGCGCACAGGGTACATGTAATTGTACCGGAGGTAATATGAACTAATCAAGTGTCGATCACTGACGCAAACATCCTCATAAAACCTATAGCCCCATCTACTAACACTTCCGTTCAAAAGGGCGAGGCTGGGTTTCTAAGATTCAGAACGACAGACAACTCCCAGGAAGAAAAGCTGTAGAGGCTGCATCGGGATTTAAAAGGCGGTTTACAGGACTTTTTGGTGAAAATCCCCCGCCGTCCCAGCCCCGCAAAACTCACAGCCCTGAACCCCAAACCCTAGAACCTAGACCCTGACGACTACTCCCACGCTAAAGTCCCATCGTACAGCTTAAATCCCAAACCCTACAAACCTTGAGCCCTAAGCCCTCGAGCCTAAATCCGCTGCTAAGGATCGCAAAAAACTCCAAGCCTTCCCTCAAGCCAAAACCCCAAAACCGTGAAACCCCTAAAAGCCCAAACCTTCTGCTAAGGAGCTCCAACAGCACCCAGCACTCTAAACCCTAAGCCGTAAATCCTAAAGCCGAAACTTTAAGCCCTAAGCCCTAAAACCCTAAACCCTAAACCCTAAAACCCTAAAGCCCTAAAACCCTAAAACCTTTCAAACCCCAAAACCCTAAACCCTAAAAACCCTAAACCCTACGGTTGATGATACAAATCCTGCATGACCCGTAATAAGGAATATACCATAATTCCGATAGTTTAGGGTCCTTGAGGTAATGCAGGATTTTTATCATCAGCCGTAAAACCCTAAACCCTAAGCCCTAAACCCTAAAATCCTAAAACCCTAAACCCTACAGATCCCTTTAAAGGAACCCTATAAGCCCCTTGAGATCCCCTTTAAAGGAACCCTATAAGCCCCTATAGATCCCCCTTTCAAAGCATCCCTGAAAGCAGCGGAGGCTCGGCCACGAGCACCTTCGGTGGCAGCTTCCGCCTCTCGCCCTGGGTCCCTTTAACATGTTGGGTTCCCTTTAACATTTTAGGGTCCCTTTAAGATTTTAGGGTTCCTGATTGCATTTTAGGGTTCCTTATTACATTTTCGGGTTTAGGGTTAGGGTTTAGGGTTTAGGGTTAAGGGTACCGATAAGGGTTCCTTTAAAGGGCTTTTTTAAGGGTTTAGAGTTTCCAAAACAAAGAGGGGACCCTAAACTTGAAAATTAGGGGTATCTTTAATTTAAAGGGAGCCATAAGGGTTCCTTTAAAAGGATCTATAAGGGTTCTACAAAGATCCTTTAAGGCTTCCTTAAAGGGGATCCATAAAGGGTTCCTTTAACTGTTCCGGGTTAAGGATTTAGGTTTTATTGAACCCTTGCTTAGGGCTCTGTTGCAGTCTGAAGCTCTCATTTTTGGGGCAGGGCTTGTTTAACAACCGTTTCTTGGAGTGGAAGCCTGGCAGTAAGAGTTTTGGACACGCAGAGTGGAGGGCTTGCATTGAGAGTTTCAGACAAGCAGCAGGCAAGAAGATAAGATTATGCCAATATGCCAAAACGGAGATGTCTGTATGCAGCTTCAGACCGGCTTCAGAGGATTCTGTTCAAGGTTTGGGGTCTTGGTTTATCACAGGGGCCTACATCCTGTTTACCAGTTTACCACAAACCTATGCCCGGAAACCCAAAGCCCAAAGCGTAAAAAACCCACAGCCCCTAAACCCTAAACCTTCAATGCCCCTGGCCCCCAAACCCGAGACCGCCAATCACCCCCAAAGAGACCCAGGCACGACGGCAAGCTTCAGTGCTACCACCACGACCTTTGCCAGCCCTCCGCGTCCCCTTCCAAGCCATGTGGGGCGTTGTCAAAATTATGGTTCCTCTTTGGGTCCCTATTGTAATATGGCACCCATTATTCAGGGTACCCACAAAGGGACCCTAATTTTGACAACTACCTATGTAGGTGAAGTGTTGAGTCTGAGGGAGTCTCGGGGGTGTAGCGGCATCAAGACCTGAGGCCCTCTGGTTCGTGTTTAGGACGTCAGGGATGGAGTTTGAGGTGGGTATTCGCCATATGAACTTGGATCCTAAGCACTTTCGGGACCCAGCCTTCATGTGCATAGGTATGGGTACATGTACTTGAAGGATCATAGGACTCAGTAAGTAGGTTATAATTGGGGTTATAAGTCCCCTAAGTGGGGTTATCCCAATTATAACCTACTTATAACCTTACTTACTAAGTCCCATGAGCCTTTAAGTAGGTGGTGATGCAAAACTGTGGGAGCGAGCTCGCATGTTTGAATATACGTCGACTCGCCTCTCTTTCGCTCTTTCCCGTCCTCACCGATTGGGTATGATATGAATCGTCAGCATACGGAGTCCCTGGAAAGGGATTGCTGAGTTTAACAAACCCAGTATCCTGCGACTGCGATTGCCACGACGATGATGACAATGCGGACGATGCCTCGCAAACATACGAACCATAGCGATCTTCCTTTTCAGAAGGATAAGATCAACGAGCTCAGGCTCAAGAAACTGTAAGGACGGTACGCATGACTGCTCACATGTTTGAGTTTGCAGTCATTCAGCATCAAGGTTCGCACAGCCAAACCCTGAAATCCTAAGATCCTGAGGCCAAGAACTACCAAGCGACTAGCTGGGCATCTACTTGCAGTGCGAATAACTGTTGTAGCTGTATCATATGCGTATAATGTATATATATATATACACACATACGCGTATATATATATATATATATATATATATATATATATGCATACATGCATGCCTACATGAATACATACATACAGATACATCAGCGCGAATCTCCGTTATTTTTTTGTAGCCCTAGTGCTGCCGTTGCACGAAATGCTGGAACACCCTACCTAAAGTTGTTCTCTGGTAGGACATACTTCAAAGTCTCGTGATATTTGGACCGTCTCAGGTCCTAGGCTTAAAGCCCAACAGAACCCTTATGAAGCCCTTCTACAACCCTTATGGAGACACGCCTTCGACCAATCCCTTATAGAACCCCCCTCAAGACCCAGCAGCTAAACCCTAAACCCTAAATCCTAAGTCCGAAACCCTTTACGCACAAATCGAGAAGTGTACCGAGTTTTTAAAAGAACCTGTACCCTAAACCCATAGGCCGAAGAGTGTAGAACCCTAAACCCTAAACCCTAAGCCCTAAACTCTAAGTCCTCCTCTGCTTCTACAACTACGACTTCTACCACTACGGGTGTTACGTTTCACTAAGTTGAAGGCAAAATTGCCAGCGCCGCTTTGAAGAAAGAAGGGCACATCAACTTTAAAAAACCTCTAAACTGTAAACCCTAAAACCCTAAACCTTAAACTCTAAAACCCTAAACCCTAAACCCTAAAACCTTAAAACCTTAAAACCCTAAAACCCTAAACCCTAAACCCTAAGCCACAGAGCAGCCAGCGCCCCGCAAGCCTCGGATTTATCGAGGCAGGGACTCCGGCAACTCTGCGGGAGCCCGGGCCGCGGCGGTTTGGGCACAGGGAGTGTCGGGTTTAGGGTTTGAAGTTTAAGGTTTGGAGGTTTGGGGTTTAAGGTGTAGGATTTAAGGTTTAGGGTTTGGGGTTGAAGGTTTAGGGGTTAAGGTTTAGGGTTTGGGGTTTGAGGTTTGGGGTTCAAGGTTTGCTGGGGTTTAGGGTTTAGAGCTGAGGGTTTGTAGGGTTAGTGATTCTCCTAGGTAGCATTAGGGAGACTCCTTAAAGGGGGACCCTTCTTAACCCTACTTGATCCAACTCATGGCTCTCTTAGCAGGGACTTTATGAAGAGGATCTATATCCCCAACTACGGTCAGTGGTTTACCTTGCCATTTTCATTGGCCAGCTCGAACCATCGTTGCATGAGCTTTACGTTGCCTAGGATTTGTAGGGACATAAAATGGCGGGGTTCGAGGTTCCAGGGTCTTTGGGTTTGGGAGGCAGGCTGTAGGCCTCCGCTTCTATGCCAAGTCCCGTGAGAAAGCTGGTCTGTTCACTCCTTCCCGGTTGACGCAGGGATCTCTTTTTCGGAGAATTGGGCTGGACTTCGTGTGGAAGCCGTGTAGTTGGGTTAGTGAGCCAACGAGCCAGGCGTGGACACGTAAATGCCTTGTGCACCGGTTAAAGCCGAACAGATTGCGTTGAGCTTCCCAAGAAGCTCTCGGAGTTCTGGCAGATGAAGCGCCGAGGGGCTGGAAGCAAAGCAGGTGTGGGTTGAGGACCTCGGAAAACAGGGAGAGGATAAGGGAGGCGGGGGTGGCCTCCTGGTATCGGATATCTGCCAACTCTGCGGCAGTCGGTTACGAAGTCTACAGTGGCGTGCGTCAACGGGATGTGAAGCTTTGTAGCAAATGGGTGGTTGTCAAAATTAAGGTTCCTTTTTGGGTACCATAAATGTTAGGTGCCGTACTAAATTAAGGACCCAAAAAGGGACCCTAATTTTGACAACCACCCAGATGTAGTTTGGAGATTTGGTGGTCAGAGCAATCCGACTGAAGCCTCTAAACCCGAGGCCTTCTCAAGGAAGTGGTCCATGGCTCTTCAGACTACTGACTGCTACACTACCACTACACTACTACTTCTGCTACTCCTACTACTACTACTACTACTGCTGCTACTGCTACTGCTGCTGCTACTACTGCTACTGCTACTGCTACTGCTACTGCTGCTGCTGCTGCTGCTCTGCTGCTGCTGCTGCTACTGCTACTGCTGCTGCTGCTGCTACTGCTACTGCTGCTGCTGCTGCTGCTGCTGCTACTGCTACTGCTACTGCTACTGCTGCTGCTACTGCTACTGCTACTGCTACTGCTACTGCTACTGCTGCTGCTGCAAGCGTCTCGGCTGTGAGGGCCAAGGCCCAGGACAGTTAGCGACTTCGCCGTCGGTGCAATCAGGCCAGCCGTGCTCTTGAATCTTTGGAACAATTTCCGGCTCTGGACTGTACTGCGACGGATTTGAGGTTTTTGGGAAAGCGATTTTACCCAGGACAGCGATCTATGAAGTGGCTGTCCTGTCTCTGCCTGCTATGTGTGAATGGTTGGGCATTGAACTGGGACCCATGGACCATCGACCTGTCAGTTGCGATTGGATCCCGAACCCCAACAAAATCACAGTTGATGCAGCCTGTACATATGCGAGAGAACTATTTGCCCGACCGACTGCACGGATTCACTTTCAGACAGCCTTGGGTCAAAACATGCTGCGTGTGGCGGCAGACCACGGCGGTTACTTCGGAAATCATGACTTCTTTTATGATTGGGACCTCCTCTGGGACTCCAATCAACACCCAGGGCGTATGCTACAAGCGGCAAGAGCTTCTCCATATCCTCCTCTTGAATATGACCTTTTCTGCTGGTGCCGATTATATTATCCAGCCTGGGTTTATCATTTCTGGCCGCGACGGTTCCCACAACCATCGGGCCGGATTGATCTGCAGGTCATGGACTAAAGGTACCTGGGCTTCCACCTGCATAGGCAAAACCTGTCGCAGATGGCGCTTCCGATATGCAGCCCGAGCACCGAGGCGTCGCCGACGTCTCAGACTTAAATGCTGTCGCAAGCAATTTCTGCATAGGACATGGATGCGGTGTCCTTGGCCGCGCCTGCTGCTCACGTGCCCATGGCACTTTCACAGGGACTTGTTCAGCTTCTGCTATGCCCGTCTGCTCGACCAGTCTTGCATTCAACTGTTATTCTCTTGGCTTCTGTGGGCTCAAGGGCAAGGCAGCTGCGACGTGTCTGGTGGACTCTACTGTAGAGACCCCGGAATGAGTGAGGCCCCTGCCGATGAGGACCCAAGACTGGGGAGGACGGCTTCCGCTGCCACGGCGGACTCATCTGACACTGATGATCACCAGATCGATTCCGAGGACTATGACGACGGAGCTGTGGCCCCGGTCCCGACCACTCCAGGGGGAACACCAGTACCTGCTGGACCCCCCCCACCAATGGCTGTGCAGAGCTGGAGATGGATCAGCCAGCAGGTCTCCTCGGCGGTGGCCGGTGTGATGATGCAGCAGGGTCTGGCTGTGCAGAGGGCTCTGACCCTCTTTCAAGGGGATTGGAGGATTATTGGGGACAGTCTTCGTATCGACATCTCTTTCTTAGGGGACGAGACGGCCGGACATCCTTTTTCGCTCCACTTCAGCGACTCCGGACCCAGTGGAGATGAGGAGAACGATCGCGATGATGAGGACAGACATGACCCCGCCGGACATGCAAACACCGCTACTGAGGAGACGGAGGTCACGCATGCCCTGACCACCAGAATGAACAATGAGGGCAGAACACGCATGACACCGGCGGAGGCGTACCGGCTGGCCTCTATCTTGACCAGGGGTGATGAGGAGCTGACTACTTCGAGTCCTGTGCCAGGACCTCGAGCAGTGGCGGTGCTTCCTAGCACGCCTCCGGACTTCCAGGATGAGGAGGCCCCTGCCCCTGTCACACATGGTGATGATGGCACTGGTATCGGCTCCATGGTCGCTGCCTCCTCTACGGCTTCCTCCTCGACTATGCTCCCCAGCTCGATGATCTCTGGCCCTCATCCAGGTGCGGCTGAGGCCAAACCACGTCCCAAGGCAAATCGCAAGTGGGTGCCTCATTTGCTTCCGAATGCAACAGCAGATGACCCTACATGTGCACTAGGAGATTGGGATCGGGGGTCCTGCCTTCCACATGTGCTCACATCACACTCAGGCGACGACGTAGTGACAGCACGGCCTAGGAATGCACAGGCTGCCTCCCCAATAGGGCTGAATGGGCCACTGTCAGAGCCTCCATCTAGTTGGAGCATCGACCTCACATCTCAGCAGCGGCTGCCGAGTGAAAATGAATCTTGCCACGAGTCTGCGAATGTGCAGGGTGTCTTCACGTACCATCGGACCTGCTTTATTTGCTCTACCTCGGCATGCTTCTTGCTTCGATCCTGGTTGGCCAGGTACTCTACTTGTGCCTCCCGGACTACCTCGGTGCAAAGCTCAATGGCTATATGTGCGGTGGCCTGCTCTGCAATGTCTGGGTTGTTATGTATGACATTGGCATCTCTCGCTTTCAGGTCACTGACCACTTCCTGTCCCCCTATGGCAGCATCCTCAACCAAGACGGTGTCACCCACAGACATTGTCACACTTCGCTTCTCCCACGGCATTGAGTCAAACCTGTACACTCATGCTCGCTCATCAGGTGTTCGCTACTGCCCTGACAACTACGGCTTCAGCTGCACCGGTCCCAAGTCCGGTGGTGTGCACAGGCGGCAATGCATTGCTGTACTGTTCTTCCTGATTCTTGCAGAAAATTTAGTTAATTGTGATTCAGTGCACACAGATGCGAGGGTTGACATCTTTGCTGACGCGATGTCTGGAGTTGACGGGAATCTCCTGTCAGCGAAGCCAGTCAGCATTCGGAGGGCTTTGCCGCCCGACGCTGAGGGTAAACTCTCGAGAAGTGGTAAACGATCTTATGCTAGAGCGTATGCACGGTCTTGCAGAGAGGGCGGAGCACACTTTCGAGGACGATGGCGTCCCCACCAGTGGTTTCAGCCTCGACATGTACCACCCCAGTATGTGCCTAAGCCTCCGGCCTGTGACCTACCGGGCCCCGATTCATGGAAGGTACTGACCTGGAACTCAGGTGGTCTTACGACCCAAGTCTACCAAGAACTGCAGACCTACGTACGACTTCATCAATACGACCTCGTACTGGTACAGGAGACCAAATGGTCTTTTGATGCCAATTGGAGCACACGTGACTTTCACTACATTCACTGTCATGGAATTCTGAAAGAAGACCGCTCGACAGGATTGTGGGTGATGATCGCGACGAAACACGTCAAGGCCACAGATATTCAGTTCAACATTGTTCACCCTGGTCGCATACTACACGTCAGGCTACCGATTGGCCAAGTTCATCTGGACATCGTCACGTGGTATCAATACTCCAGCAGCACTGCTGAAGGAGTATATGAACGGAGGCAACAACTGCTTATTAAACTGCAAAGGTGCCTACTTGCCCTCCCGCAACGGAACCCACTGGTGCTCGCAGGTGACTTCAACTGCGGAATGGTCCCACATCAGGCCCTGTGCGGACCGTGTGTGCTACCAGCTAATCCTCTTCAGTACAAAGACCTCGATGACCATCAGGACGTGCTTCGAGCTCTTCCTGTTTGTGTTCTTAACACATGGTCGCGACCCAAGCATGGTCAACTGGCTACATTCACTTTTGGCTCTCTGGCATCACAAATCGACTACATAGTTGTTCGTCAGCGGCAAGCCACAAGACTCGCCAAAAAGGCGACAATACTTGATCGCTTCCCAGTCGCTCAGTGGAGACAAGGTGGCAACCATCACCCCGTGGTGGCTTATGTGCCGGTGCCTCGAAGAGTTGTCGTGCGAAAACAGGCCACTGTACCATCATTTGACAGGGAGCGCCTTCTGGCAGATCTTCGGCAGCCCACGGCGTCTCCCGCACTGGCTGGCTTCCGCGAGGATATCCAGGACTCCATGCCAGCACCCATATGTCGGCTCAATGATCTTCTCATGCAGGTGGCGACCAAGCACTATCCGACGCCGCCCAAGCCGACTCAACCTCCAGATCAACCCCTCGAGCTGGCCAACTCTGCCAGGCATATGTGGGCCATTTTCCGAACCATGAGGAGTCAGAAATTCACCTTGCAGGGTGTTGCTACTGCCTGGAAACTTTGGGCCCGTTTTCAGCGGGCACACAAGGCCCACAAGGACAGAGCCAAACAGCGCACCAAGCAAAAACGAAATGATCTGCTGCAACAAGCCCAGGAGGCCGCGGAAAAGGGTCACTACTCTGGCCTTTGGCGAATTGTCAAACAGATGACGCCCAAGGTCCCGCATAAGCGTTTGCAGCTGCACCGCAATGGCCACATCATCAGCACTTCCGAGGAACTAGATTGGATACTGACGGCCTATGGAGAACGGTACGGAGCCCAGGCGACCGATGGTGGCTGGAAAGGACCTGTCGGGTCTACGGAAATCGTCACTATTGATGCCACAGAATTACGTGATCAAATGCTCAGGATCCACCCAGGCAAGGCTGTCCCCCGTGGCAAAGCTGCTGCTCTTCTGTGGAAGGCTAGTGCTGCTCAAGTTGCACCCATCGTGGCTGATGAAGTCAACACCTGCTGGAACCAACCTTCTTTGTCACCGCAGGTTGACACAGGATGGTCCGAGGCTACCGTGTCGCTATTGCCCAAGGCCCATGGCAGAATGCAAACGCCGCTTGATCTTCGCCCGATTGGCCTACAGGATCCACTGGGGAAATGCGTGATGACCCTGCTCCTGCGACAGGCTCGGTCGACAGCGGAGGCCTTGGTCAGACAATACCCACAGACCGCCTATGTGCAGGGCCGGGGCACCAGCACGGCTCTCAGAAGGGTGTTCGCCCACTGTGCTGCGGTGCGGGCTGACTGCGGCAATGATCGACTGAACCCACACCAACAACAAGCGGGAGAACAAAAACGGCAATGCAGTGGAGGACTGCAGATAAGTCTGGACATGTCGGCAGCGTTTGATTTGGTCCGATGGGACTTCTTGAAGGAAGCCATGGACTTCGCGAACATCCCGATAAGCATCCAGGACATACTGCTCGTCTGGCTCTCCCAAGTGCGGTACATATTTCATCATCGGGACTGCGCAGGATCTCTGCAGCCTCAATGGGGATTGAGGCAAGGATGCGTCGCATCCCCCATTCTCTGGAGCTTGTTTACTTCCTTGATGTGTGCAGCCCTGGACCGGAAACTCGGAGGCGGATGGTCGACAGAGCATGCAACTCTGTATGCAGACGACACTCACTCGAAGTGGAGGTTTAAAACTTATGTCGAGCTGGAGCGCAGTATGATGGAAGCCCGTGTTGCGCTCGGGGTCTTTCGCGCCTTTCACATGAAGGTGAACTACGAAAAGACCAAGGCCATCCTGAAGGTGGTCGGAGGCCTACGCAGCAGAGTTCACAAGGAGTATGTCCGCAAACACGATCAGGAACGGCGTCTTCTTCTTTCACCGAGGGACCCCACGGCATGGGTAGCACTGGTGACACAGGCAGAATACCTAGGTCTTATTATCTCCTACGGGGCTTTCGAACTACAGTCCATGCGACATCGAATCTCCAAGGCCAACAAACGTCGGTGGGCCATGGCCGCTGTGCTCCACTCTCGCCGCATCAGTGTAGGCTACAAGCTGCAAATATGGCGAAGCTGCGTTCTCAGTACTCTCACGTACGGACTTCATTGCTGTGGCTTAACTGGAGATCAATTACGGGAGGCCCAGAAGCATATGATGAGACACGTCAGGGCTGTCACCAACAACCAGGCGCATATCACCGGAGACTCACATGAAACCGTCATGGATAAGTTCGGTGTGCAAACAGTTGCTGGTGTTCTTCAGCAAACGCATGATCGAGAATCACAAGCTGGCCTCTCAGCAACCGAGTGGATGCAAGATGATTGCTGGTTACAACACATCAGCGACAGGTTCCGACAACACAGTATATCTGAGCCGGAGGGGGCCGAGTCTGCAGTTTGGAACTGTCCGATTTGTGATGAAGCCTTTACGACCTCAGCTGCACTGAAGATTCATGCAAGACGATCACATAACATTGTTGATGAGCACAAGGAAGTCTTCAATAAAGCTCGACACTCTAAGAACGGACTTCCCATCTGCAAATTTTGTGATAAGAAGTTCTCCAAGTGGCAGTCATTGGCGATCCATATCAACAACAACTCTTGTCCAGTACTGATTGCTCCGCCGGACGATGCCAGCCATTCCGATTTTGGATTTGCCAACATGCCCTCCGTGCCCTCAAAGCCCTCCGATACCTCTGACAGTGTGCCCCAGCAGCCGACAGAAGATGACTCCGTGAGTATTTGCCAACTGCCTGATGTTCGGAGAGCTGTACAGACAGGGATCAACGCATTCATTCCGCTCAAAGCCATCACATCGAAGCTTCAGCAGACCTGTAGCATCTGTGGACAATGGGTCGCATCCCATCGCACACTCAAGCGTCATTTTCAGTACTCACACAAGGATCTACTTGAGACTCTGGGTGCCCGCGTGAACAAACTTGTCACACGTACTGCCACAGCCAGCCCTACGTGCCACTACTGTGGAGTTGCTTGCAAGGACTGGAGGGGCCATCTTTCCAAGTGCACAGTGGCATGGCAATGTGCGATTATGGTACTTATGAGCCAGGATGTTCAACGACGACGAGATGACGGAGTTCTTCGGGGAACTGCAGGACAGCCACAAAAACAAGCGGAGGCGTCCGGAAGCTCGGGACGCACCCAAGGGCCAGATGTCGGCATCAAGCCAGTCCGCGGCTGGGGGCTTGACGCTTACTTCACTCGCTCGCATAGTGCTGAGGCAGGACGAGGAGTTAAGAGTGATCAAACAAGATCACTCACTGGTCCTATGGCTGAAGGCAGGTGCGGACTCGATCATGCCTTTTCTTCACCAAACGGCGGTGCAGTTTCGCAAAAAGCAGGAGGAGGCACCGGATTGGAGCCCAGGCTGGCAGCCCCTGCGGACTGTCATGGCTCTGGCAATGATCCGCGAACTGGCCACCCGAATGGAAGCAGCGATCCAAGACGAATCCCTAAGGAAGACGGTGACGGAGAAAGGATGGCTGGACAGCCAGGGACACTGGCGATTCCAACGCTGGAACCCTCGCCTGAGATGCCTCGAGGAGGACAAGGATCGCCCACCGTTGGCCACCCAGGCTCTGAAAGCTACGCTGGAGGAGATCTATGCGGCCCTCAAAGGCGAAACGGTCACGCGGTTCAAGTGTACACGCCGACTCACCGAAACAATGGAGTCCCAGTCGGTGTTCAAAATGGACATCTCCACGAGAGGCAACGGGATTCAGGCATGGAACAAGCTGCTCGAGGTTCAGGGCAACAGCGTCTGGCAGCTTGTTGGAGTGGCATACCGCAAAGAAAGCCTCAAGGACAGCCCTGCCATTCAGAAGCTACGAGAGCTGCTACGACCGAAGTAAACGTGGCGACATCCATGCGGGTACTCAGGCTCACGCTTGGCAACAACACCAATGTTTGTTACATGAACAGTCTGGTGCAGGCGCTCCTATGGGCAGCTGAACTTCATGGGGATATGAGCTTTTCCTGTCTGGGGCAGTGTGCTTACTTCTTCCGACAGCTTCTCGCACACCCTCCCAATACTGAAAAACTCCTGACAAGGGATCTGACCTGGAATGCCCTCATTGCTGGATGGTCTGACCCTCACAGTCAACAGGATGTCGTGGAGTTTGCAGCCTTTCTCTGTGCTGAATGTCATGTGCGCTTGGTTGAAGGCGAATGGGTATCCAGAAAGCTCCACGAGGGGATCTTTCGACAAGTGGATGTGGGGTGCACCACTCAGCCGATACTTCTGCCTCTCCCTGCGTACCCCCCGGGACTAATTATCCTCAAGGTGCAGAAGCTTGTCAATGAGTGGATGACACAAGACAATGCGCATGCATTTACTGCGGTGCCCTCGGTGCTGATGTTGCAACTAGGCCGTTTCCAAGTTCGTGCGGGAAATGTCTTAAAGATTCACACATCGGTGCACGTGGATGCTCAGATACAAGTGCCTTTCTTTTCGGGCCCTGATGTTCGACTACGGCAGGAGACCTATCGATGCATAGCAATGATTTGTCACCATGGAGCCCACCCCAGATCTGGACACTACCAGGTCATTTTGCGTCGTGATTCTGAGCTCTGGAATTGCGATGATAGACGGGCGGCTCAGTGCATCACCGATGTTCCTGCGTGGCTACACAAGTGTTGCTATTTGTTGCTCTATCAACGTGTCCATACGGACACGAGTCGTATTGATCCTCAACAAGACTTTTGATCTTGCTTCTCCCCTGTCATGCTTGGTTCCGCGGAACGGTGATAGGTAGAGTTATCCTTTTGAGGCAACCACAACGGTTGTGTGCACAACGCACCGGGCTCTCTTTCGAGCTTGCTCCCTACCGACGCTTGGTGGACCGGACATCCGCTGCGATCGAAGCTCGAAGCTGCTGCTGCTGCTGCTCCTGCTGCTGCTACTGCTACTGCTACTGCTACTGCTACTGCTCCTGCTCCTGCTACTGCTCCTGCTCCTGCTCCTGCTCCTGCTCCTGCTCCTGCTCCTGCTCCTGCTCCTGCTCCTGCTCCTGCTCCTGCTCCTGCTCCTGCTGCTCCTGCTCCTGCTCCTGCTGCTGCTGCTACTACTACTACTACTACTACTACTACTACTACTACTGCTACTGCTACCGCTACCGCTACCGCTACGGCTACGGCTACTGCTACTGCTACTGCTACTGCTACTGCTACGCTACTGCTCCTGCTCCTGCTCCTGCTCCTGCTCCTGCTCCTGCTCCTGCTCCTGCTCCTGCTCCTGCTCCTGCTCCTGCTCCTGCTCCTGCTACTGCTACTGCTACTGCTACTGCTACTGCTACTGCTACTGCTACTGCTACTGCTGCTGCTGCTGCTGCTACGACTACTACTGCTACTTTTACTGCCATGGGTGGTTGAGCGTTTAGTGTCCAGGATGTAGGGCGAGGGGCCTAGGATTCCGGCTGTAGGGTGAAGGGTGTGGAGCGCATCCAAGGGGTATGTGCACTGACTCTGTAAATTCTCTTTGCCAGCGTGTCGTGGTGTTTAGGGTTCGTGGTGTAGGGTTTAGGGTGCCTCTCCTTGAGGTGACCCGGGATGCATCTCCCTTGCGCGAGAGAGCCCACAGCGAGGTGCGGCGGACAGCTGGCTTGTTCATATCAGTAGTGCTCTGTGGTTCTATGGGTGTGTGTGTGTGTGTTTCTTTTGTTGGGGCGGGTTCGGAGTTCTGATTAAGACCTGTCTCGGAAAGTCTAGCTCCCTCATATCCGTCTACACGAACTAGTTAGGTCTTGTCGTTGACGTTGCCGCTGTTTTTGCGGTAATTACTGTTGCTGTTGCTCTTTGAATCACTCCAAATGCTGTTACAATTGCTGCTGCAATTGCTTTGGTAGCTGCCAGCATTCGCGACCTCCGCGCACGTTCACTGCTAGTGCTCCCTCTCCTCCCACTCCCATCGCTCGTTGCCGCTGCTGCTGCAGCTAGTAGTACTAGTGCTGGCCCAGTGCTGGCATTAAGTACTACCTGCTTCCTGCTGCCTACTGCCTACTTCTACTGCCTCCTACTAGCTACCTAGTACCTACTACCCACCACGTACTACCTACTACCCAGAACCTAGTACCCATTACCTACTACCTACGACCTACTACCTCTACTACCTACTCCGACTACTCCTGTCACTACTATTACTACTCTGTGATGCACATCAAACTCATCAACCCTATTCTGATTTTTCGATCTTTCAGGCCTGGCGCCGGCGGTCCGTTCGGATTCCGCGCGAAGGGGCGTTCCTCCGTGAGGGCCGCAAGTCTTCGGAGGCTTAGGTTCTAGGGTTTAGGGTTTAGGTTTCAGGCTGTAGGGCGACAGAAAACACAAAGCGCATTATTCTACCTGGCCTGGGCAGTTCTGTTAGATGGCTTCTTGAGCATTTTTTTGGCGGATTCTTCGTCTGGCTCGTGATGGTGTTGAGTCTTGTGTGTGTAATTAGGGAAGTCTCCGGTACCGGGTTTGTCTCTTCGGCGCTCGCACAGCAACGTAGCAGTAAAGTGAAAACGCTCTTTACTAAAACTCCAAAACCACATTTGCGACTAAAGCAATATATGGGTCTAAAGAATTACCCACAACATTCCTTAGGCTTTCTGATTTTTAATATTTAAGGTATATATCATACCTCAAAACCCTCAATTGACTATGAAGGCCCCTACAGTACTGGAACATGATGCCAAGTTTTCGTCACAATATCTACCCCAATTAAGGCCTTCATATCAAAACCTAGGTCTTGACCCCAGATACAGACCCCAAACCCAACTACACACTCAACCCCTAAACAGTAAACCCCAGACCCCAGGCCCATAGCCCTGTACTACCATCATAAGGCTTCTGTGTCATTATTCAGGAAGCCCGGTTTGATAGCCGCAAACCAGAATTGGATTGGATGCCCTCATTATTCAGGATAGGGGCTTGGGGGTTCAGGGTTCAGGGTTCAGAAGTCAGGTTTGAGTCTACACACTCTCTACCTTCAGCCCGATACTTCGAAGCCTGAATGCTGTACCTAAACCCCAAACCACAAACCCTAAGCCAAAACCCTAAACCCTTACACCCTTAACCCTAAACCCTAAACCCTTAACTATGACCTTAGATCCTCTCTGGATTCTCAGGGTGGGTGTAGGATGGTTGGACATCACGGCCGGCCCTCCAGCTCCCAGCCAGGTGCTGGTACGCCAATAGTCCTCATGTGCTGCAAAAGTTCGTTGTAGATTGCTACATATTTGCAGACGTTGAAGCATCTACAGGATTTTCTAGCTACTGTGCTTCTGATCATTATCACGAAGATGCACTTTTCATTCCTTTGACCGAAACCGACACAACGTGACACCACTCGCTCCGCGCCATTTTCCCGCAATGGGCTGCACTGTCGGAGCTCCTGAGCTTCTTGCCATGGTTACCCAGAGATCCCAATACCCCTTAATGAAGGAATGTACCTTAAATCACAATAGTAAGGCCCCTATAATTTAAGGTATATTCAAGTATATTCCTTAATTAAGGGGTATTGGGTTCTCTGGTTACAGAGGTTTGAAGGGGCTCAATACTGATCGTAGCAAGAGTAGTAACACAGTACTGGGAGTTCTAGTATTTCATAGCCGCAAGCAGTACTGAAGAGTGTCTTCGCCGTGAGTACTTGGGTTGGGACAAAGTTAACCTTCAAGGCAAGACAGGACAAGTTCCCTAAGCCCGCTGCTGCCACTGTTGCTTAGTCATTGTCCCTGTAGCTGTTCGGGTTCTTGCTTGTATGGTAGCGAAGAGCACATCAGAAAGAGAACTTGTGAGGAGTGGAGTTTCAACGCAGTAAATCCCTAAACAATAAAACACGAAACCCTACATCCTAAGCAATCCCTTTGGCTTTCCGGTGCTTCCTTGAACCACAATCCAGTCTAGGTTTTGGCGTATAGGTGGTGGCACCCGCAAAACCAGGAACTTACTCTATTGTACATGTCGTACCTGGCTTCTTAAGGAACTTGCTTTGCGGTTAGCAGCAAGAGGAAAACACATCATTTGCAGACTATCCACAGGGGTAGTGAGGCAATGCAGGGGGCTTGGCATTTGGAACAGGGTTTTGGGGTAAATTGCACGACCTGTGTAATGACGATCCTTAGGCAGCATTAGTATGGTATCATGTTAAATTTTCAGGCTTCTACAGTCAGGGTGCCTACAGCCCAAACCCTGGACATTACAAGAGGAGACAGCCAGGTTTAGGGGTTAGGGATCGAGGGTTTTGTAAGATTTAGGGGTTTGGGGTAAGGGGTCTAGGTTTGAGGGTATTAAGGTTTAGGGTAGTATCAGGTTGAGGAGTTTAGGGGTTTAGGGTTGAGGGTTACTTGCTGCGGTTTGGTTCACCAGGGTATAGGCAGTATGGTGCTATGGCAGGAGGCGGTCTCGAAGCCAGGGTTCCTGAATGTTTAGGGTTTGGGGTTTAGGGTTTGGGTGCCTTCTGCTAGGCACCCTTCGCAACACAGATGGCTTGTGTTCCTTTCCTTTATGACGTTGTAGGGCTTTGAGAATTTAGGAGTTTAAGGGTCCCTTCGCGGGTTTTCGGATTTGATGAAGGGGTGGGTATGTAGGAATAGTAGGAATAGTATCCCCTTCTCTAGTTCTTTATATTGAGTATAATGAGTCATATCATGTTCTTATGCACTCAACCCTCACAATGACATCCTAAGCGAAGCCCGAGCAATCCCTACTCTACCTATAGAGCTCCTAGATTTATCCGCTGCTGCACAACCAGCACTTGGGCCCAAGAACCCCAAATCAACCCTAGAGGCCTCGTCCAGCAACCCTGGAAAACCCTCCATAGCCCTTAAATTCTAAGCCCCAAACTCCACACCCTGAACCCTGAACCCAAAGC